GCATGACAAGCCAACTACAGGGCTTATAACATACAATCTGAACATTTAAAGATACAAGTAATACTGTGAATGCAGTCTACAACATTAGCTACTTATACAAACCCCAAGTCAAAGACGTACATAGATGTATATATGTCCATGCCAAGTCTTGTAAGATTCTGTTTTGGTCTCGTGAGCTTGGCTGATAATAGTTCATATAATAATGCTAAATTTGACTGAAAGTGATGGTAACAGACTAAATTTAGGGCTAGATGTCTCAAAAGTTTAAGGGAGAGGCTGTGATTGTGAACAAATGACAGAGGGTAGAAATGAAGGAATAGTATAGGTGTTTATACCTAGTCAGAGACATTTACAGGCCTGTTTGGTGATCACGTGTACATGTGGACCTGACCCCTGAAGATCCGGGGTAGAATAGGTCTTCAGCAACCCATGCCTGACGTTAAAGGCAAATAACAGATCAGGTGGTCAGACTCGCTGACTTGGTTGATGCATGTCATCGTATCCCAATTGCATGGATCGATGCACATGATTTCAATCACAGCGATTCGCTGTGCAGAGTTGTTTCCCTTGGGCATGATTGTGGGTTCAAATCACTGTTTGCCCAAATGATGTTTCATAACGTCTCGTTTCACCAAAGTGTTAAACGTCTGAGACCTGCATCACTTTGGGCTTTCCTCCCACATTAAGCTGACACGCCACGATATAACACCTAGAATACTGTTAAAAGCGGCGTTAAACCCAACTCACTCACTCACTCACTCAAGTTCTCCAGGGGGCACATAACCTGTGGCTCAGTTGCCTGAGGCACTGCAATTAGCTGTGCAGAGTTGTGTCCCTTGGATGTGCAATATACATGGATTTTATAATTTATGGATTCACCCTGATTGTTTCCATGTTTGTCAGCACCACACCCATACTCATGGGTTTCATCATGGTGAGACAGACCTGCATCATTTCGGTTTCAAGCTGACATGCTGTGGTATAGCATATACATGAGATACTGTTGAAAGCTGTGTTTAACTCAACACACGCAAGTTCACAGTGGACCATAGATGATTTTCAGAAAAAAAGAGTGTTGGGGCTCTGTACAGAGTGGCCTTGTCCCAGTAGATAAGATTGATATAGAAAAGACAATGGAGGTGTTTGTAATTGTTGTGCCAGCTTAATCTTGAAGGAAGCTGGAGAGATGCAGACAAAACAGCTCTCAGGCAAACACATAGCCTTGCTCCAAGGCTGCACTGAAAGAAAAGTCCATGGGTGTGCAGTAATTCTATCCTCCTAATAGTCAAGTCTAGATATGTGGACTGCACAGTTTCGTGTAGGGACAACTTGTTCTTATTATTTACATAATCTAGAAATTATGATTTAAACTAATAATTATTGCCTTAGAGACTTGTGCAAGTCTAGCAGCCACATTGCAGTGATTATACATGTTGAAGGAGGGTTTGATAGTTTATGTGAGGGCTGGGACGGGTAACTTGGGTACTGCAATCAGGTGGGTACTGAGTAGGACCCGGGTACCCACAGGACTACCTGGACCCGTGGTTAGTCACGTGATATATTGTTTAATGAAAAAATTATCTAGAACGCCATGGTTCCAGAACAAGTCACTATTGTTCGCATTTCTTTCTGACTATGCATGCATTACTTCTGACTTTTATATGTTTGAATTAGATGAAGCTTCAGTCAACTGCGGTGTATGCATGACCGTATCGTTTTATATGTGTACCTTTTGCCAGGGCTTGAAGTATTTCGACTCATCCCCGTTGTAGCTCATGTCTACGGATGTCTTAGGGCTGAATGTAGGACTAGATGTATGTTCTGATAATATATGTTTGATCATTCTAGTTTACAGACTGAACACATGGTTGAAATTCTGTTGGGTTGACATTGATGTAGCTTATAGGCTATTGGTAGCCGAAGACCCGGGTTCCATTCCCGACATGGGTACAAGGTGTGAAGCCCATTTCTGGTGTTCCCTGCTGTGATATTTCTGGAATATTGCTAAAAGCGGCATAAAACTTCACTCACTCACTATTGGAAGAGTTGTAAATTAATTCACCTTTCTCTTACCAGCTGAGATAATACATATTGTAAACCTATGTTGTGATTGGCTAATTTGGGTCACATGACATATTCTTACATGTTGATACCATGTGCTTTTCCTAATTTCTCTAGTTCAAACAGAACATTATAACAAAATGACTGCAATTATTTTTATTTTGAAAGCCAAACAGGATTCCCCAATTATGCTCTTGTCAATCATTTTTTGCCACCTTACGACATGTTCAACCAATGTTTGCTTTTTAATATTTAGAACTGCCAAAGCTGGATATGGAAGAAAAGTTAAAAACATTAAAAAGCCAGCTTGATTGTTAGCCTTGCATGTAATTTGCAAATAATGTTGCCATGGTTTAAGGAAGGTCATATTGTAGACCTGGAGAACAAAGCCAGCACTGTGTGGTGGGGTTAGGGGCTTGCATGAATAACCATGTGGGGAAGAAGGTAACAGAATCTCATTCACTTTTACCTGTACAGACGACATCCTCCCAGTTGGAGGCCAGGAGCCCAGTACCTGACTTTATGATGTGACAGATTGCTGGAGGGCATCAGGTGGTAACTGTTTTCTATTGCTGGAGGAGTGGGGGAAATAACAGTAAGGAGTCAGTAGATGGACCTCTGTGTGTGAAGCTCTGGCTAGGCTATTGTTTCCATCATGTGGTAGAGACAGCAATACTGTAGGTCATTTTCATCAGGTAGGGCATCTGTCCAGGTAACTTTTCCTTCAGGTGAAGAATAGGAGAAGACAGTAAGGAGTCAGTAGATGGACCTCTGTGTGGTGAAGCTATGGCTAGGCTATTGTTTCCATCATGTGGTAGATACAGCAATACTGTAGGTCATTTTCATCAGGTAGGGCATCTGTCCAGGTAACTTTTCCTTCAGGTGAAGAATAGGAGAAGACAGTAAGGAGTCAGTAGATGGACCTCTGTGTGGTGAAGCTATGGCTAGGCTATTGTTTCCATCATGTGGTAGATACAGCAATACCGTAGGTCATTTTCATCAGGTAGGGCATCTGTCCAGGTTACTTTTCCTTCAGGTGAAGAATAGGAGAAGACAGTAAGGAGTCAGTAGATGGACCTCTGTGTGGTGAATCTCTGGCTAGGCTATTGTTTCCATCATGTGGTAGATACAGCAATACCTTAGAAATATAAAAAAAAGTTACCACCATACGTGCATGTTCAACAGTCACACAAGTAAATTCCGATGATGATTTATTGTTCATTTTGGGGCAGCAGCATCAAGCAAAGAACCTATACCTGGTTCATTCTTGTTCTTGTTGATTGTGGGGTGATGAGCATGCTCCAGTTATCTTCAATAGCATCGACTTCTTGTTGCTTCAGACAAGAGTCAGAGTGTGTATAGAAGGGCTTTGTATTTGTAGATTGTATCTATTAGATGGGATGGTCCTGTTGGGATGACAGTTATCCTGGCCAAACTAGTTTGAAGGTGCTTTTTGTTGGATGGGTGACTTCAAACTTGACTTTTTTGCCTGTTGAAGATAGCACAGTTATTTACGTCAGTGTCAATAGGTGCTGATGAGATGAAATATTGTTGGAAGCCCAGTGAAAAGCCACACTCACTGTTTGTTTTCCAGAACTTTGAAGAATGGCGCTTCATAAACGCTGAATGTTGCGTCAGACTTGTGATAGTATGATTCTACTCCATGCCTTATCCCACCTTTATTCATAGCACATCTTTCCGGTCATACGGTATATACATAGTGTGGATCTGTTACAGGAATACTGTTTGCCTCTCATGCTAAAAGTGCCACTAGGCTCGGCTAATTCGCAGTCTAAACAAATTTGATTCACATCCCACTATTAGCAGTTCGACCCATGAAGATTCCAGGGTAGAATAGGTCTTCAGCAACCCATTCTTGCCGTAAAAGGCGACTATGCTTGTCGTAACAGGGCACTTACAGGATTGTGTGTCAGGCTCGCTGACTTGGTTGATACATGTCATCGATCCAAATTGCATGGATCGATGCTCATGATATCAATCACTGGATTGTGTGGTCCAGACTCGATTATTTACAGACCGTCGTCATATAGCAGGAATATTGCTGAGTGCGGCGTTAAACAACAAACAAACAAACAAACAAAATTAGCAGTTCCTTGATCTGATAGTTCAAATGTAATGATATTTACCAATTTTGCAATGACCACCCTTATTACATTGTCTAGACCTTGGCAGATAAAAAGCACAAGAAATAGAGCAAAGTCCTCCTTAAAACCATTTGGTATCTACATGGTCTAGATCTGAACCCTGGATTAATTTCTACCCCTTGAATAACATCAACCAAAGTACATTGCATGTAACAAAACCAATTGTCAAAAAAAATGCAAATTTCAGCATTTTCAGCTGTGTTGAGAAATCTTTTCTGTATGGTCCTATAGTCAGGAAGTACCTGACTGGAGTAGGTCCGATAGTTTTTCAGATATTGTAGTAAACGTCGGTACCTTAAATTACCTTCCAGACTGTAGCTGTGGCTATGAAATGAGTAAGTTAGTGATAAACATGATAAGGAGTGATGATGAACTACCTGAATCATCCCTGCCATGCTCCTGTACAAGCAAGCAAGCACCTGTTGATAGTGCATATTACCCACCCTGCTTGCTATCTTTAAATAACTGACTTACCAAAGGAGGGTTGGACATATTTTGCCTGCATGTGTTGGTAGAATCGGTACTGAGAAGGTAGTCTTCACTGTGCAGTTATTTCTGACTCTCCTAACTGTCTATAGCGTTGCTGCTTTGGGTACAAATCACATGGGAGATTTATGTTAACGTTTATATTGTCGTGTGATGGATGATGTTTCAAAGCGAATTGATGCTGTGGGGCTTGAAATCATCAGTTTGTTATTATGGTGATGTTTCATGTATGACATTTTGCCTGTATTTTTGTTTGGGAAGATGTTTCATGTGTTCCTTGTGTTGCAGTCCGTTCCTGAACGCCCCCTGTCCACCAGGCATCACCATCCAGTCCCAGGACCTCTATCAGCTGGCACAGTACTTGCAGGTCAGTGAAGGACCCTTGACCAGGGGTCTGAAGTGGTCGCTCAACTCACTGGGTTTACTTCCCCACATGGTACAAACTACGATGTTGAAAGCCATTACTCATTATTCCAGGCGAGAATCAGTGTCTCGGGCTTAGGCTAGTTATGTGGTTGGTTGGTTGGTTGGTTGGTTGTTTTACGCTGCACTCAGCAATATTCCAGCTATATGACGGCGGTCTGTAAATAATCGAGTCTGGACCAGACAATCAAGTGATTGACATCATGAGCATCGATCCATGCAATTGGGATAGATGACCAGCATCAACCAAGTCAGCGAGCCTGACCACCCGATCCTGTTAGTCGTCTTTTACGACAAGCATAGTCGCCTTTTATGGCAAGCACGGGTTGCTGAAGACCTATTCTTCCCCGGATCTTCACGGGCCAGTTATGTGGTACTTACATTCGTTCTAAGCCTCACACTGACACGTTCCCAAGTTCACCCCGACTATGTTTCTTGGTTTTGTCAGCACCATACTCGGGCCACTAATAGAAACTAACAGTTTTAGTCCACTAGTCCTTATAATGATAACATATAGCAAAACCCTTGCCAATGGCAAGTTTCTACTCGTCCTTATGATACCTTAGCTATTGGGCAGTCTTCAAGGACTATGGGACTAGTGCCAATTTCTATTGCTGCGTGCTCATGGGTTTCACGAAAGTGGTAAACGTCTGAGACCTGCATCACTCCGGGCTTTCCTCCCACATACAGCTGACACGCCGTGATATAACTGGAATATTGCTCAAAGCAGCGATAAATCCTAATTCACTCCCTCACTCATCACCATGAGTTTGAGATCATCCTGAACAACTGTGAAGAAATATGCCCACAAACTGGTGTGTCTGAAGTGGTGTTTTTACAGGGGCTTGTCGTCAGTAGCTGACAAGTATGTGTGAACTATACTTAAATGGTCTGCCAACAAATTGGTCATTTGCAGTGTGTCTCGTTGCTGGGTAAAGTTTACCAATTACCGATGGGAGGATTGCCACAGTGTCTGTTGACAATCCACTTGATGACAACAACGCTAACACTGCTTTAAGAATCACCAGTGTTGACTTACACTCCCAGCTCTAGATGGTTCTGCACTGTGTCACCCTAGCCTGGGGTATGACTTCTTACAGGGTAGGGCTCCTCACAGGGTAGGGCTCCTCACAGGGCACAGCTGCTCACAGGGCACGGCTCCTCACAGGGTACGGCTCCTCACAGGGTACACCTGCTCACAGGGCACGGCTCCTCACAGGGTACGGCTCCTCACAGGGTACACCTGCTCACAGGGTACGCCTCCTCACAGGGCACGGCTCCTCACAGGGCACGGCTCCTCACAGGGTACGGCTCCTCATGGGTACGCCTCCTCACAGGGCACGGCTCCTCACAGGGCACAGCTCCTCACTGGGCACAGCTCCTTACAGGGTACGGCTCCTCATGGGTACGCCTCCTCACAGGGCACGGCTCCTCACAGGGCACGGCTCCTCACTGGGCACAGCTCCTCACAGGGTACGGCTCCTCTCAAGGTATACTGTGCCACTGTTGGACATATGGGATATAATAATCTCTGTAACTAGGACACAGTCAAAATTAATAATGAAAGTCAAAATGTCCATGTTGTAAATGTGATGTTAAAAGTTACAGATTTTAGGAGTCCTTAGATTAAAAAACAATTGTGGCAAAGCTTAGGGCATCTATCCGTGGCAAGGGAGTTAGCTGACTAAAAACAGTCAAGTTTCCACCCCTGCTGAACTAGACTGGAATTATGGAGTTATAATTTGGCTGGAATAACGAGTCTTTGCACAGTCCAGTCAAAATCGCTTAACAAGATCAATATCTGTAAACTGCCATACAGATTTCGGTTGATTTCAGGATTTGCATCAACTGATATTTTCCAAATCTTTTTATATATCTATTCAAGGTGTCCACATGATTTGATGCACAAAGAAAGACCCGTTTTATTTAAATAAAGTTCTTGATTATCGATCAGATCGTCTTGACTGTGCGCTGCCATTTTGTTTCAAGCAAATGCAAGTGATATGAAAGGTGGAATCTGATTGGTCAGTAGAAGGGACATAGAAGGGATATGAGTTGTAATAACCGCTGGTGGTGCTACCATCGAGCCCAGAAATTGCACCCATGGTTCGGTAAGGATGGAAACTGGACTTTAACAGTCAGTTTCCTGCCTTGCCTCGGGAAGTTGACCTCAAGGAACCCAGGACACACACTGTAGGATTTCATTTAGGGTTTCAAAGAATGAAGGATAACAGTTTATGATGTAGCATGCATGAATTTGCTTAGACATCAAGCTCTCATGCCGTAATAGAACTAAAATACTGTTTAGAGCGGGATTAAAGCCAACTCACTCACCCACTCACTCACTCACTCACTCACTCACTCACTCACTCACTCACTCTCTCACCCAGTCACTCACTCACTCATGATGGAGATTAATGCAACTTATTTTGATCGTTGCAATCTCCTTGTCATTGTGTTTATTGAAATTAAATTAATTATGAATAAAAATCCTACATTTTCAAATTCCTCAACAATTTGCTCACTACTGAACAGACATGAGTGATCAATAATCACTCACTCACTCACTCACTAGCACAAACTCACTCACAAGCACCAACATGCCATACATTTGAACCCACAGCAAGTGATTGCTATTGCTGGTGGTTTTAGTGAAGCAGGTTTTATGAATGCAAATTATATGTACATGTATTACCACAGAGGTCATGAAGGACATAAAAGTGCTCTGCATATTTCCCAGCTGTGAACCGTGAGCCAGTGTGGTGCCTCATTGTCTCCAGACCTACATCGGAGACCCAGGCTCACTTCCCCTCAGGCTCACTTCCCCTCAGGGGCTGAAGGAGGACGTCCATTCACTCTTGTAATGCACCCCCCTGTGGTGCCTCATTGTCTCCAGACCTACATTGGAGACCCAGGCTCACTTCTCCTCAGGGGCTGAAGGAGGACGTCCATTCACTCTTGTAATGCACCCCCGTGTGGTGCCTCATTGTCTCCAGACCTACATCGGAGACCCAGGCTCACTTCCCCTCAGGGGCTGAAGGAGGACGTCCATTCACTCTTGTAATGCACCCCCGTGTGGTGCCTCATTGTCTCCAGACCTACATCGGAGACCAAGGCTCACTTCCCCTCAGGGGCTGGAGGAGGACGTCCATTCACTCTTGTAATGCACCCCCCTGTGGTGCCTCATTGTCTCCAGACCTACATTGGAGACCCAGGCTCACTTCCCCTCAGGGGCTGGAGGAGGACGTCCATTCACTCTTGTAATACACCCCCGTGTGGTGCCTCATTGTCTCCAGACCTACATCGGAGACCCAGGCTCACTTCCCCTCAGGGGCTGGAGGAGGACGCTCATTCACTCTTGTAATGCACCCCCGTGAGGATTCCTTGTTTAACAGGTCCCCAGTAATCCTTGCTTGTCGTAAGAGGCGACTAATTGGATGGGGTTGTCTGGCCTGGTTGAGAGCTTGCCATCACACCCCGGCAGCATGGGACTTCGATCATTATATCCATCACTGGAATATCTGGTCCAGACTTGATTATAAACAGACCAGTGTCATACAGCTATGAGAATATTTTGCGGATCCATGGAATTCTGTGGATTTTGTTACATCAATGGTCACTTTTGTCAATCACGCCATTACAATATACACATAAATCAAAGCATCCTGACGTACCCTATTTTCGAACAGTTAAGATGGCATTGCTTATATTTCAAGGGATGAGTGAATCAAATTCAAATTCTGCTTCATACTAGTAGGTGATATCTTCAACAATAGCATTCAGCTAGAAGCCCTGATAAAAGGTGTGATCTCCATTACCTATAATAGTGTGTAGGGGCGGTCGGGTAGCCTAGTGGTTAAAGCGTTCACTCGTCACGCCAGAGACCCAGGTTCGATTCCCGACATGGGTACAATATATGAAGCCCATTGTGATATTGCTGGAATATTGCTAAAAGCGGCGTAAAACCATACTCAGTCAGTATAATAGTGTGTAAAGTTCCGCTGCACTCGAGTGCCGTCATGTATTCTTGAACACCTGATTGGTATCGTACTTTAGCATGTTTTGATGCACAGTTCTCAACATAATTCTTGCAGGTCGGCATTAAAACCCAAAAACTTATTGAAAGTTTAAAACCTGTTCACAAAATATGAATATTTGTCAAATTAAAGTGTTCACACTAATTTACTCTTCCTTTTCATCATGGCACGGGCACGGGCCTTTTCATGCCTTTTCATGGCATGGCACGGGCACCAAAAAACATGACAGGTGTACAGTACTTCACATTAAGACATTCTCAAGTTGGCAGCTTTGATTGTCACACCTCTCGTTAAAACATGTAAAATCACTGTTAGTTACGGCTGTTCGAAAATAAGTGTCATTAAAAAAATAGAACTTACAGTGTTTTTTCAAACAGACATTCTCACCCATGCATTCAGCTAGAATATTTGTTGACTGCAGTGTCAGGCTTATAGTGCTCACTGTGTTCTTTGTTCCAGGAAGCCCTGCATAGAGAAAAAATGTTGGAGCAAAAACTGTCAACCCTCCAACAACTTGTTGCCAGTACGCAGGATTCTTCAGAGAGCGGTTGGCAGGTAAGGAAGGACGTCTTATGAGTGGAAGTTTTGGTTTGGCCGTCATTAGGATTGTGTGGATGTTTTGAGTGTGCATTGTTTTTCACCCTGTGACATGTACTGGAGCTCACCTGGTTGTAGTCGTCACCTGAAACTTGCCTTACAGAGTTATTCCCACCATGTTTTAGGCCACCTCTGTGGCCTAGTGGTAGAGCGAAAATCCCGGGGTTCGATCCCCATCTGCGTCATACTAAAAGACGTTCAAAGATGGTACTTGTTGTTACCCTGTCTGGCGTGGGTATTAAGGGGCTGAAACAAGGACTTGTCGGGTCAGAGTCAGTATACTGTGTCTGAGTGGGGTATTCATGTTAAACTGCGGCATGGTATCTCAGTGGGTTAGCACTATTAATTGGCATCAGTCCGGACCAGTACAAGCAGCCACACACACACATGTATGTCGCTATATAAGTGCAATAATCTTGGATGCGACGTTAAACCCCAATTTAGCTCACCTCACCATTATGTTTTAGTGTCTTGATATGTGGGGCCGTGTGGTAGAATTGAGGTTAAGTGTGGGCAGGTGATGAGGAAAACTTGAGTCTGATTACACATGTGGGTACAGTTTGTGAAGCCCATGCTTCTGCAGGACTATCACATGCAATTACTCTATCACTAGTGTTGAGGGAGAATTATGCCCTGAGCCTAACAGTCTGTAACTTCAACGCTAGTCTGGAGCCTGAGTCAAGTAAAATTTCCTTTGGTCTAGTAAATTTTTGCTGATAAAAGTCTATACATTTTCACTAAGATCTACTATAATCATGTCAAGTGATAGGTTCGGGCAAGAATTCTTAAAAGTTCTTTTTGGCACAGGCTGGCTTAAGTCTGACTGAATGTTTTTAGACTTGAGGCTACAAATGAATGGCTGAGGGCTCATGAATGTAGACTGAAAAGGAAAGTGGTATTAAAAGAATGTTGCCCCATCACTAGGTAATATGTTTCTACCAGTGATTTTGTAGTTTATGAGACGTCATGTCACCTGCTATCTGTATAACATGCATACCTGCCATAACGCTCGTCAGCCAGGTTGACCTCTCGCCCCACTGGCCCAATCACCAGGTAATGTTTTTGTGTCAGTGTTTTTGTAGTTTATGTGACGTCATGTCACCTGCTATCTGTATAACATGCATACCTGCCCGTCAGCCAGTTTGACCTCTCAACCCACTGGCCCCCATGTCACAGTCAGGTGTGGTCCATGTGGAAGTTCATATCTTCATATATTGTCATATCTTCTGTGTTGACATACATTTGTGATGTTGATACGTCAATGAGATGTATCTTTTTTGAGGATTGTAAAGTGATTTTGTTGTTTTTCAGGCTCTCATAGATGAAGATAAACTTTTATCCAGGTTAGAAGTTCTGGAAACCCAGCTTCATACATACTCAAAAGTAAGTCAGAGTGAGGGGAAATATGGAATGGAGGGGTTCATTTTAGGGAATGAATTAAAAATATTAAAAAAATTAAAAAATTAGTTTTGTGTTTTACAACACTGAAACATTGTTCTTTGGGCTTAGTGTATGTTTTGAAAAATAATGTGCTTTTAATGAAAAAAATATTTTTTGGTTTTTCCATACAGAAGTTGCGATTTTGATGATAGTTATTATCATATGATAGTGATGATATTAAGGAACATATAGGTGTTGCTCAATATCTTTTATGACCAGGGGAGATCAGGTAGCCTAGTGGTTAAAGCGTTCGCTCGTCACGCCAAAGACCCAGGTTCGATTCCCGACATGGGTACAATGTGTGAAGCCCATTTCAGGTGTACCCCGCCGTGAAATTGCTGGAATATTGCTAAAGGCGGCGTAAAACCATACTCACTCACTTTTATGACCAGAATGCTGATAATAAAAGTGTCTTATTTGTGAAATGGAACTTTGTGATGTCGTTTCATGAGATATTTTCTATTCTTCAGAATCACTCAGAGGACACCCTCAGGCAAGAGCTGGATGCTCTGCAGGAGGAGAAACTCAATTATGAAACTACTGCTAAGGTGAGGGGAATTATGGTGCCTTGAAACATGGAGAGCATCTGTCTTGCCAAAAAGTTATTGTCATTATCACAACGGCGTACTGTACATTCATGTGTCCATTGTCATGTAATTGTTATCAAAGTTTGTCCACTACATGTTCAGTGTTGGGTGTGTACAAAACAAATCTCCTTTCTCTTTTCAGGAATCATTGAGACGGGTTTTACAAGAAAAATTGGAGGCTGTGACAAAGTTGTCAGACTTGGAGGTATGATATAAAGTTGTCGTTTGTTTGTTTTGTTTGTTGTTTAACGCCGCACACAGCAATATTCCAACTGTAAGTAATCGAGTCTGGACCAGACAATCCAGTGATTGACATCATGAGCATCGATCCACGCAATTGGGATCGATGACATGTATCAACCAAGTCAGTGAGCCTGACCACCCGATCCTGTTAGTCGCCTTTTACGACAAGCATAGTCGCCTTTTATGGCAAGCATGGGTTGCTGAAGACCTATTCTACCCCGGAATCTTCAAGGGTTGTCCGACTTGGAGGTATGATATAGGGTTGTCCGACTTGGAGGTATGATATAGGGTTGTCCGACTTGGAGGTATGATATAGGGTTGTCAGATTTGGAGGTTTGATATAGAGTTGTAAGACTTGGAGGTATGATATCGGGTTGTAAGACTTGGAGGTATGATATAGAGTTGTAAGACTTGGAGGTATGATATCGGGTTGTCAGACTTGGAGGTATGATATAGGGTTGTCCGACATGGAGGTATGATATAGGGTTGTCAGACTTGGAGGTATGATATAGGGTTGTCAGTCTTGGAGGTATGATATAGGGTTGTCCGACATGGAGGTATGATATAGGGTTGTCAGACATGGAGGTATGATATACGGTTGTCAGACTTGGAGGTATGATATAGGGTTGTCCGACATGGAGGTATGATATAGGGTTGTCAGACTTGGAGGTATGATATAGCGTTGTCAGTCTTGGAGGTATGATATAAAGTTGTCAGACTTGGAGGTATGATATCGGGTTGTCCGACTTGGAGGTATGATATAGGGTTGTCAGACTTGGAGGTATGATATAGGGTTGTCCGACTTGGAGGTATGATATACGGTTGTCAGACTTGGAGGTATGATATAGGGTTGTCCGACATGGAGGTATGATATAGGGTTGTCAGACTTGGAGGTATGATATAGGGTTGTCAGTCTTGGAGGTATGATATAAAGTTGTCAGACTTGGAGGTATGATATAGGGTTGTCAGACTTGGAGGTATGATATAGGGTTGTCAGACTTGGAGGTATGATATCGGGTTGTCAGACTTGGAGGTATGATATCGGGTTGTCAGACTTGGAGGTATGATATCGGGTTGTCAGACTTGGAGGTATGATATAGGGTTGTCAGACTTGGAGGTATGATATCGGGTTGTCAGACTTGGAGGTATGATATCGGGTTGTCAGACTTGGAGGTATGGTATAGGGTTGTCAGACTTGGAGGTATGATATAAAGTTGTCAGACTTAGAGGTATGATATAGGGTTGTCAGACTTGGAGGTTTGATATAGGGTTGTCAGACTTGGAGGTTTGATAGTGCATCAGTGCATCACAAACTTACACCTGCTGATACGATACATGACACGCCTACCCATGGACAGATTCATGATTTAACTCTTTATCTATTTTCAAGAAGTATTGTTCGTGACATTGTGCTAAATGACGGCCTGATAACTACTTGGTTTAGCGGCATTACCCAACCCTTATGATGAAACAAGCTGCTAAATATGATTAAATAGAACAAATAAACCAGTCATGCAATTTAAGCACAAACTGGTTAATAGCAACAACCTCATGTTAGCCTCATGTAGATCATTGTGTAGATTGAAATGTTATACAAAGTGTTTTAAAGACAAATATACTCAATCCTTCCCTTACCACGTCTATGTCTTAGCCATTACCTTTATCCATGGCTGCAAACAATAGTCAACATAAGAACAAACAAACAACTCATGCGATAAACAACATGAAAGGGAATAAGGCATACCACAGACTGACCTCGTCCAGTGATAGGCGTTTTGAAGTGAATGCAGATCTATACTCACGACAAAAGAAATGTGAATACCATACATATTGGTTAATACATGAAATATGACTCATATTCAAGACATGTGAGATTGGTTCCCCACACAAACAAACATACTGATATGTTGTGTGAATCGACACTCATGAACGCACCACATGTGACGTCTTATATCCATGACTTAAGATGCACCATTCGTCTCGTGCAGGATTAGCATTAAATGTTTGGAAAAGCAGCATATCGTGATAAGAATAAAGACACTGTGGTAACACTTGACTGGTTGTTAGTTTCGTCATTAAGTGGTTCTCATTGGAAACATTTCTTTATAACGTACATACTTCTCTCTGTTTCTTTGACCCGTGAAGATTCCGGGGTAGAATAGGTCTTCAGCAAACCATGCTTGCCGTAAAAGGTGACTATGCTTGTCGTAAAAGGCGACTAACGGGATCGGGTGGTCAGGCTCGCTGACTTGGTTGATGCATGTCATTGTATCCCAGTTGCGTGGATCGATGCTCATGATGTCAATCACTGGATTGTCTGGACCAGACTCGATTATTTACAGACGGACGTCATATAGCTGGAATATTGCTGAGTGCGGCGTTAAACAACAAACCAACCAACCAACTATGTTTCTTTGGTTTGCGTTTCTTTTGGTGGTGAGTATATGTGAGGGTATTTAACGTTGCGGTCGATGTTGCAGCGGTCTCTGAGCAACACTGAGTCAGAATGTGGCCATCTGAAGGACATGTGTGAGAAGTCCCAAGATGAGCTGAAGCAGCTCGCGGAGAAGTATCAGGACCAGCTCAAGGAAGTCCAGGAGCTGCAGGACAAACTCAAGGTCAGTCACCAACTCCGGGACCAGGGACCTGTTCCTCAAAGTGATCTTAGCTACGATGATTGTAAGCCTATGTTAATCTTACGATCGTCTTAGTGCTAAGATCATTTTGTGGAACCTGTCCTTTAGTATCTTTCCACAAAGCAATCTTAGCTACATCTTTCGTAAGTCTTGTGTTAAACTAGGGGAGTTACGACAGTCGTAGTGCTACGATCACTTTGTGAGACTGGTCCCAGTGGCATGAATTGGACAGAGCCAATGATAATCATGTTATTTGTTCGCAAGTGAATTTGTTAGCCACTGTATTCAAGCACAATCTTATGACTGTGATATTGTTGGAGTTAAGAACCGTTTCAGCATACTAACTGACGTCAAATTGATCGTGTTCCAGGATGCTGAAGAGAAGCACAAAGAGGAGTGTGAACGGTCAGAGCAGGAGAAGCAGGAACTGACGGCCAAGATCGAGGAGATGATGACGCAGGAGAGTATCCTGTCTGCCAAGGTCAGTACTCACACACTGGTCGGACAGGGCATGGCGGGCTCAGTTCGCTCGGCCGCTGCCATTCACAGTGCAGTGTGTCATCCTTTGACCCTGCTGCTGATCGTAGGTTCGAATCCCTGATTGTGATCCTTTCCGATGGTCTTGGGTTTTTCGCCAAAGTGGTAAACATTCTACGTCCTGCCTTAACATTAGTTGAAATGACATGATTGTGACATTCTGTTCAAAAGGATAATTAACTCACTTTGGGAGTGACTTTAAGAGGTCATAAAAGGCAGTGGAATAGCCCAGAGGTCTAACTTTTGTTTGTATTTACATGGCCTGGGTCCAATTATGGTTCAATGTTTGTCAGCACCATACCTGTGCTCGTGAATTTCACCAAAGAGGTTAATGTCAATTCTTGGATTCTACTTGTGGAGCCCATGCATGGTGATTCCTGTCATGGCATTATTTTCTGCAAAGTAGCATCAGCATTATGAATCCTTCATTGTTATCATCACAAGTAGATTTGTGTAATCTCTTCAGGGTGTTCCTTGTGGTTAAAGCGTTCGCTCGTCACGCCGAAGACCCGGGTTCGATTCCCGACATGGGTACAATGTGTGAAGTCCATTTCTGGTGTCCCCCGTCGTGATATTGCTGGAATATTGCTAAAAGCGGCGTAAAAATAACTCACTCACCAATGATACATGTCTTGCCTCTCAATAAAGAATGAGAATTTTAGGAAAGAGGAATGAAATTACTGTATAATTCTTGATCTATTTTGTATGTGACATGATGTGCACCAATCCTAATGCTGCATTATTGTCAGGTGGAATCCCTACAGGCTGATAATGACTTTGCTAAGGAACAGTTGGCTGCCATGAAAGGTTGGTATATATATGTAGTGCTGGGTTTCATGTTTAAGTTACAAACACTTCATAGACAATGTCTTACCTATTTAAAGAAGATCCCTGCTGATTTGCATGAAACTATTTCTTAACTTTTTTGTGTTTCAGCCAAATTTGAATCAATCAAAGAAATCAACGAAGATGATCATGAAAAGATTGTTGCAGAGTTAGACTCTATAGGTAAGCTTCAAGAGGTCTATTGTTGCCAGGGTGATATTGTTTTGAACAAATGGAGAATTGAAATATGTTGCACAGAACTTTGAATGACTTCCTACTGTTATACCCGATTTACGGGGCGGTCGGGTAGCCTAGTGGTTAAGGCATTCGCTCGTCACGCCGGGGTTCGATTCCCGACATGGGTACAATGTGTGAAGCCCATTTCTGGTGTCCCCCGCCGTGATATTGCTGGAATATTGCTAAAAGCGGCGTAAAACCATATTCACTCACTATACCCGATTTACAAATATGTGCAGAATTAGGGGACCGATAAAACTGGCTTGATATTGAATAAGGGGAGGTAACTCTCATATTCACAGACAGCCTTAGACTTGTTTTTGGCATCACAGATTTTGGTGATGAGTTCAAAGTAATAGGAGATATTGTTACTGTGAAATTGCATGCCAATGCTTTGCAGACCATTGTGTCTTCATCAGTTACCCTAATGTCATATTCAAATGACATCACTAATATCTCTGACAATGAAACTGGTTGGCTGTTCTTTTACATCCAAGACACTGGGTGTTATTGGATGAATGATTTTGTATTGTGAATGGAATCTTGCTCTCAGAGATTCTCTGTACAGACACTGGGAAGCATCATAGCACTCAGTGTTAGAAATTGGCACCAGTCCTGTAGTCCTTGCTAGGCCGCAAATAGTTAAGGTACCACAAGGACTATCAGAAACTTGCCAAGGGTTTTGCCATATGTTATCATTATGAGGTCTAGTGGACTAAAAATGTTAGTTTCTACCGCTGGCACTGGACTCTGAACAAGATGATTGACATGCTGATGGGACCCGTGAAGATCCGGGGTAGAATAGGTCTTCAGCAATCCATGCCGTAAAAGGCGACTATGCTTGTGGTAGGAGGCGACTAACGGGATCGGGTGGTCAGACTCGCTGACTTGGTTGATGCATGTCATTGATCCGAATTGCGTGGATCGATGCTCATGATGTCAATCACTGGATTGTGTGGTCCAGACTCGATTATTTACAGACAGCCGTCATATAGCTGGAATATTGCTGAGTGCGGCGTTAAACAACAAACAAACAACAACAACATGCAGATGGGGTAGTATTTCTCTTTTATCACATTCATTGACATAAGACACTTAGTAAAGGATTGTGCATCACCTGTGAGAGTTCCTGCTTCTGTTGTAGGTTCTCCACAAGCCGATATTATCCCGCTAAGTCCCAAGGATGACAGTGGCCCTGAAAATCTGCCGGAGAAACTACGGGAAACTCAGCAACAGCTGGAGAAATATAAAGGTTGGGAAATATATAGTTTGTGCCCTGAAATTCATTCTCAGCTCCCTGGGAAGTATACATGTGCCCTGAAACTCTTTCTCAGCTCCCTGGGGAGTATACACGTGCACTGAAACTCTTTCTCAGCTCCCTGGGGAGTATACATATGCACTGAAATTCATTCTCAGCTCCCTGGGGAGTATACATGTGCCCTGAAACTCTTTCTCAGATCCCTGGGGAGTATAAATGGGCACTGGAATTCATTCTCAGATCCCTGGGGAGTATACATGTGCACTGAAATTCATTCTCAGCTCCCTGGAGAGTATACATGTGCACTGAAATTCATTCTAAGCTCCCTGTATACATGTGCACTGAAATTCATTCTCAGCTCCCTGGGAAGTATACATGTGCCCTGAAATTCATTCTCAGCTCCCTGGGGAGTATACATGTGCACTGAAATTCATTCTCAGCTCCCTGGGAAGTATACATGTGCCCTGAAATTCATTCTCAGCTCCCTGGGGAGTATACATGTGCACTGAAATTCGTTCTCATCCCCCTGGGGAGTATACATGTGCCCTGAAATTCATTCTCAGCTCCCTGGGAAGTATACATGTAGTTGAGTGAGAGAGTGGATGATGCTGATGAGCAAGGGTATGTTTTGCAAAGCAGTCTTTGTGCTATGCTGTACAGGATTTAAATTTAACAGGCTCCTGCTACCACATGCAGGAAACGAGAAGTAAGGATTGATGGTTACCTCGTGGTTATTGAATAGTGAGCAGCATAATTAAATTAATCTGTTCTTGTAGCAGCAATTGTTTCGAATGTGATTCTAGTTTCACAGAACAGCTCTTCCTTACTGTGATGGTGAATTGTGTCTTTACAGCTCAACTTGAAGAAAACGATGTGAAGTTAAAAGAAAGCAGTGATAAGGTTGAACAGTTAGCAAGTAAGTATGCCCTTTCCAGACAGTCCGCCATGAAGGCAGCTCACGTTTCTTTTCTGGAGCAGAACTGAAAAAACCATGAGAGATATCTTTACCAAACCTGGCACATAGATAGGTCTAGTGGTGAACTGGTGCCTTTTGATAGTTTCTTATTTTTTAAAGATTTATTTTTTAGTTTCCATGGCAACGACTTAGACTGAAAAAAGGTAGTGCTTGTTTCTTGTGCAGATCTTGAAAACCGTAAATGTTTCATGCCTGGCACACAACCAGACATTGGTGGGGGATATGAGTATTTCATTCTTGTTCACACACTCTTTGAAGTTAAAACACATGGGTACAATGTGTGCAGCCCATTTCTGGTGTCCCCAGCCGTGGTATTGCTGGAATATTGCTAAAAGCGGCGTAAAACCATACTCACTCACTCACTCACTCACTATGAAGTTAAATGCATCAAATATAGGGACTTCTTTGTATTAGATGATAAATTAAGGGCGGCTCGGAGTCATTGTACTTGAGTGAGTGTCCATGTTAATATGTGGCATGGTATCTCAGTGGGCTAGCACTGTAAAACAGATAAAGTCTAGACCAGGACAAGCAGCCAAACACACATAAGTGCATGTACGTCGCAATACAATTTCAAATATTTTGAAGCATTAAACCTGATTTCATCTCAACTCTTCCAAAAAGACATTAGGAGTTAAAAATTTGTTAACACCAATACTTTAAAATCACTATGCAGTAAAGTTTTGGACCAAATTGTGTAGGGTATCAATATTGTGAGACCCGTGGAGATCCAGGGTAGAATAGGTCTTCAGCAACCCATGCTTGCTGTAAAAGGCGACTTTCGGGATCGGGTCTTCAGGCTCGCTGACTTAGTTGATCATGTCATCGATCCCAATTGCGTGGATCGATGCTCATGATGTCAATCACTGGATTGTCTGGTCCAGACTCGATTATTTACAGACAGCCATCATATAGCTGGAATATTGCTGAGTGCGGCGTTAAACAACAAACAAACAAACAATTTTGTCACCTGATTTTACATGATTATTCAGTGTGTATTGTTTGTGCGTACAGAGGAACTGGAGATGGCCAAGTTGGATTCAAAGCAATACCTGGCTAAGATGGCCTCCCTTGAAGGTAAGAGTGGTTAGTAATGAACCCGTGTGTCTTGTGATGTCCCAGAGATATATACCCACTGTACACCATGTAGGCCAGGCCTACCTCACATGTCACCTGGCACTGTGACTGGATCAATTCAAGTGACTGGCTGCTTCCTCATAGGCCTTGAACAAATATATTATCACAAGCCTGTTAGTCACAAGTCCCTGCACATATGACTGTTTCGTCTTAGTTTACACTCTGATTCACAGGCACTATTGGACTATATTCAGGCTTTGAGATTCAGACCTTGTCACGTGGACTCTGGGCCCTGTTTCACAAAGCGATCTTAGCGCTAAGGTGTTGTTACTCCCTTACTTTAACATAGGTTTACGGTCATCGTAGCAAATGACCACTTTGTGGAACGGGGCCCTGGCCTAAGGGTAGAGGCTATCGTAAGCGTTGATGTTTCGTATTTCTCCTGCAGGTCTCCATTGAATCTCACCATGTGTACAATTTATGAAGCATAAATGCGTGGTGATTTTATTGCAAATAATAAGTGTGTATTGTAATTTCAGCTTTACTTTTTTTTGTTAAAATAATTTTAAGGCATCTTATGCACAGTTGCCAGTTATGTTTGTTTTTTATAATAAATTATTTTTTCTGGATAGGTCTCAATAGGCTGATTTTACCAGGAAAATTAATAGGAAAATTGGTTGGAGTGAATAAGTAAAGTTCGCCTTCAATATTAATCACTATCACCTCAAAATGTTACTTTGTTTTTCTCAAGGTTGTATGACATATATTTTGTTAGTAGTCTTAATGAAGCTGTGAGTTTGATAAATCATGTGATGTTGATGCCAATTTTGACACCAAGTGTTTAGAAGTTTCATTGTGACATGTGGCCTCAAGGGTTAACTTCATGTGGGAGATAATATAAAGCCTCCAATATGACCTGGCAGTGTTCAATGTAAATAGCACTAGGATGACTGCTATGGTAATCAACAGTTTGGAAATTCATGTGGTGTACAGTTGGGTATTTGTCTGACGTTTGTTGTGCGTGTTTTCTTCAGTTTGCTTCGTTATATTTGATGAACTGCGGTAATAGATGCCTCGATTCATTTTCACATATAACCGAACAGCACTCTCATATAACCAACATGCTTCTAGGATCAGTCCATGTAAAGATGGACAGTCATGTGTACACCAGGAAGACGGTATCACGTATCAGACAAACATACATATAGCGCGCTGTGACCATTACAAAGTAATTTGGTAACCCTCATTGCTTTCAAAGTCATTTCCCTAGAACCATATTTCACATGATTCTGTATTTTGAGTTTGCGTGTCGTGATGCCCCGTTTGGTTTGATAGCTCCTGTTGAGACGTCCTTCGTATCAGCTGGGCTGTGCACCCTCCGAGATGTGTGCTGTGTTTGTTATTGCCCGCCCAATCACACTCATATTTTTCACATGGTATCCTTTTTCTCTCATCCAATTTTTGTGCAGAAAAACTAAAGCTGTCTGATACACATATGAACCAAATGATGGAAAATGCCTTGGCAGATTTGAAACGTAAGTGTCGCCATTTTCTGTTGCTGCCACTGTTAACAGCTGCTTTGCATGCATGGGGTTTATGTGTGATGGAGTTATCCATGCACAGCTAGCTGTGTTGTCTTGTTGCTCTGAAGGAACGGATCATGTTGCACCTTGTAGGAGCACATTCTCTTTACGTGCATGCTTATGTTACAAGTTTTCTTTGACGAGAATGTTCGTGTCACCAGTGTGTTATGACACATAGGAAGGGTAAGGAAGGAAGTGTCATTATTGAAATATTTTGCTTATGAAACAGTGTAGGTACAATCTAGGTGTACATGTCTCATGATACACGGGGGTTCCGGGTACCACAGTCGTCTAAGGCACCGCAATTTGCGGTCAGAGTTGTGTCCCTTGGTGACACCAGGAACCTATGATTGGGGGTTTGTGTCCAGGTTCGCCCTGATTATGTTTCTAGGTTTGTCAGCACCATACCCATGCTCGTGGGTGTCATCGAAGTGGTAAACATCTAAGACCTGCATCACTTCGGGCTTTCCTCCGACATTAAGCTGACACACTGTGATATAACTGGAATACTGTTAAAAGCGATGTTAAACACAACTCACTCACTCAATCACTCATGATACACGATCTGTGGTATTAATATTTATTTAGTTACCTGCTTGCCTTGTACAATAATCTGCTTTATGAAGTGTCGATGTGCAGGATGGACAGTGACACTCATACACTCACTGTTGTGTGGATCAGTTCACTTGCACCACCAGCCATACCTGAGCTTGTATAGATTTCTCTTCAGCTTTTTATTATCTGCTGAAATACTGCTGACTATGCTATGTGAAACAAACACACATGACCCTCCTCACCAATCCAAATGTAAACTACATTGTTTTATTAAACACATTTTATTGGCCACAAAGGGTACATGCCATTTAAGATCCGGTGTAGAATAGATTTTCAGCAACCCATACTTACCGTAAAAGGCGACGATGCTTGTCGTAAGAAAAGAATAACAGGATCGGTTGGTCAGGCTCACTGATGTCATCGATCCCAATTGCGTTGATCGATGCTCATGATGTCAATCACTGGATTGTAGTCCTAAGATTGGAGAGGGCTCAAGACGTTTGTCAACTCCTGGAATAGTTCAAAGATGGTGTTGTAGAAGTCTTTCAGCTGGTGGTCTACAGTGATGGAAAAACAGCTTCTCCTGCTGCCACAGCTCAGTGTGGAGTCTTTCCCTCGAGCATGCCAGAAACCTGTCATTGAGGATTCGAATCCCAGTCCATCCTGATCATGTGTCTAAGTTATCAGCATCATCCCCATGCTCATGGGTTTCACCAAAGTGGTAGATGTCTTCAGACCGGCATCACTTCTGGCTTTCCTCCCCTATCAAGTTGACACACTGTGACATGACTGGAGTCCTCTTCAAACCTGTGTAGGGAGGTGGGGTAGCCTAGTGGTTAAAGCGTTTGCTCGTCACGCCAAAGACCCGGGTTCAAATCCCCACATGGGTACAATATGTGACGCTGATTTCTGGTGTCGCCTGCCGTGATATTGCTGGAATATTGCTAAAAGCAGCGTAAAACCACACTCACTCACTCACTCCAACCAGCGTAAAGTTAAACTCAATCACAGTATTTACTGTTCTCTTGTTTCAGAGGGGCGGTCGGGAAGCCTAGTGGTTAAAGTGTTCGCTCGTCACACCGAAGACCCGGGTTCGATTCCCGACATGGGTACAATGTGTGAAGCCCATTTCTGGTGTCCCCCGCCGTGATATTGCTGGAATATTGCTAAAAGCGGCGTAAAACCATACTCACTCACTCACTCACTCACTCACTCTTGTTGCAGAGATACACTGTCTGATAGGATGTGGCTGAAATATTGCTGATAAAGACATGTACGTCTTGTTACTCTAATGTTTATAATGAGCTAGCTCCATGAATTGTGCTTGACATGCTTTGGATAGTTATGCTGTCAATTCTAAATATATTGTATTGTTATAACATCTATATATGCTTCATGCTTTCTTCAGTTATAATTTTTTAAAAAGATCTTGTTTATCGCTGTTTATAACCATTTCATGGAATCCTTGAACATGATTAAAATACTTCATGAAATATGAACAAGTTTTTTTCTAGATGCAATATTCATATTGTTTTCACAATATTTGCAGTAATATTTCAACTTATAAGATAGAGTAGGTGTCATCCCTATCATTATCATCAATCCTATCCTATTCAGATTCGCTGTATTGTCTATTGCGTCCATATAATCACTGCTTATCAGCTCAACACTAGCAGAACCACGTACATACTCTCATCAGCTCTCTTGCATCGTTCATGTTGGCTGCATCAACATTTAAGATCTGTATGAAATAGTTACATCATCAACAGTTGTAAGCAATTGATTAGAAATAATATCGACAGTAATATTTAAAGCTAAGGTGTTCAAGCAGGTTGCCACTTGACATGAATCATTTGGAGATTTAGTCAAATTATTCTAAAAGAAAGTAAAAAAAAGTGTCCTGGTAAGTGCATTAACATAAAGTTTTAACAAACTAGACTGGTGTATTATACATGTACAAGTATGGTTTCTCAAAAGTTTGCTCCCTCTTTTCTATTGCTGATTTCCAACAGCCTCCTGATCATTAGCATACACAGCTGCCATGTTGCTCCTGTACATGGTTGCATCGCGTGGAACGATGCTTATGATGTCAATCACTGGATTGTCTGGTCCTATGAAGTATGGACACGGGTGGCCTAGTCGTCTGAGGTGCCGCAATTCGCTGTGTAGAGTTGCGTCCCTTGGACACGCCAGAAACCTATGACTGTGGGTTCGAATCCCGGTTCACCCTGATTATGTTTCTAGGTTTGTCAGCACCATACCCGTGCTTGTGGGTTTCACCAAAGTGGTAAACGTCTGAGACCTGCATCACTTCAGGCTTTCCTCCCACATTAAGCTGACACGCCGTGATATAACTGAAATACTGTTAAAAGCGGCGTTAAACCCAACTCACTCACTTACTCATGTGCATTGTTGCAATATAAACAAACCTATCAAATACATTATTGTATAATTGTCCATGTACATTGTTGTATTGACTTGCAAGTCTCCAAGGCAATTATTATAAGTTTAAATCATAATTTTTAGATTATGTAAATAATAAGAACAAGTTGTCCCCATGAAACTGGAGTCCTAAGACATATCAAGACTTAGACTATAGCTATTAGGAGGATAGAATTACCACACATCCATGGCGTTTTCTTTCAGTACAGCCTTGGAGCAAGGCTAATTGTTGCATCACAAACACTCCTATGAAATACATAGAGGTGATATTATTCATGTACTGTTACATTGGAGGCAGTCAGGTAGTCCTGCTATTATTGTTTGTCAGGCCGATGGATCAGGTTTGATTCCCAGTACATTGTTTAAAGCCCATTCTCTCTGTCCCCTGTGAGAATGATGTGGCAGGAATATTGTGCTTAAATCAGTGGAAAAACACAACTCACTCTTCCATGTGACCGCCTCCGTGGTCTAATGGTAGAGCGTCCGCCCGGAGAGCGGAAGGTCCGGGGTTCGATCCCCGACCGCGTCATACCAAAAGACGTTAAAAGATGGTACTTGTTGTTACCCTGTCTGGCGCTCGGCATTAAGGGGCTAAAACAAGGACTGGTCGGCTCGGAGTCAGTATACTGTGTCTGAGTGGGGTATTCATGTTCAACTGCGGCATGGTATCTCAGTGAGCTAGCACTATAAATCGGCATCTGTCCGGACTAGTACAAGCAGCCACACAAACACACACACACACGTGCATGCACGTCGCTATATAAGTGCAATAATCTTGGACGCGACGTTAAACCCCATTTCACCTCACCTCACCTCCATGTGTATTGTTACAACACAAAGAACACTATTTAACACATCTAGGTGTTAGATTGTCATCTGCGTACATTGTTGCAGTACAAACAATCTTGTGTTGTCACACCATTATGAATGAACTGTTTGTTTCAGTGCAACTTAAAGAATCTCGACAACAGTGTGATAGTAGCAACAGTCTGATCCAGTCGCTTGAGGGTAAGATATTTTATACTGTTTCTTTATTGATGATAACTATATACCCACATGTTTTAAGTCAACCATCAAGACCCAGGGTAGAATAGGTCTTCAGCAACCCATGCTTGTCGTAAAAGGCGACTATGCTTGTCGTAAGAGGCGACTGACGGGATAGGGTGGTCAGGCTCGCTGACTTGGTTGATGCAGGTCATCTATCCCAATTGCATTGATCGATGCTCATGATGTCAATCACTGGATTTTCTGGTCCAGATTCGATTATTTACAGACCGCCGTCATATAGCTTGAATATTGCTGAGTGCGGCGTTAAACAACAAACCAACCAGATTATTTACAGGCCAATGTGATATCCAGAATATTGCGACTGCTGCACTGAGAACAATCAATCACACAACCACCGACATACCCATGAAGTCCTTAAGTGTTCACTCATTTGCCATGAATGCATTTATTTCAGCTCAAATTGAGCAGCTAGAATCTGAACTAACCGTGTACAAGCTTCCCCTGTCAGAGAAGGCCGAGACTACGTTGTTAGCTCATGCTGACAATGTTGACGATGACGATGACACCACCATCAACGGTGTACACAACCACCTCTCCTCCTCATCATCTCTATCATCGAGTGTGAGTGACCTCTCCGACGACGATGACTGGAAAGGTGGGTGGTCCAAGGTCTGGTTATCATCTCACGAAAATGATTTAACTAAATATTTGAAGTATATGTCATGCTCTATACCAGGCCTGTTTGGTGAAGTTTGTGTGTTTAGATGTGTACATATAATAAAATGAGCTCGGCTGAGGGCGGGAGGGTAGCCTAGTGGTTAAAGTGTTTGCTTGTCACACCGAAGACACAGGTTCGATTCCCCACATGGGTACTATGTGTGTAGCCCATTTCTGATGTTCCCTGCTGTGATATTGATTTAATATTTCTAAAAGTGTCATTAAACCATACTCACTCACTCACTCACTCACTCAGTTGGGCTGACAGTAGCTATTCCTCTTAGCTGATTATTCATGGATGATATTGGTTGAAGGTGGATGTCTTATCCTGGCTGTGTTGTAACACTGTATCCATGTTTGAAAAGTGCCTGTATTTGTCAAAGCCTCTGTTGTGGAGCAAGCAGAGGTCTCTCTGATTTGTTGTCATGTGTTCCTGGTTTTATACAGCTCTGTTGGAGGAAGCTCGGGAGGCACAAAGACGGGCTGAGCTGGAACTCAGGAAAACACGAGGTGAGAGTGTAATCAGATACATCAGATATAAAATGTGACAAGTGTTTTCTGCACACTGTATGTGACATAATCAGAATGTTGTGGACATGGTTAATTTCGAAACAACTTGATGGGGATCAACAGTTCCATTATCTTTTGGGTTTGAAGACCCAGGAATACTACAGACATATACACCTTTAAGGCACTTTCATTTTCAAATATATTTTTGCTTGATTGCTTCCAATCTAGACAGTGTCGGGGACATTACGTGAATGTTTCTTACATGTTGTGTCCAGATGAGCTTGAGCTGAGCAAGGCAAGGGTGAAGAAAAACAGTGATGAGACGCTAGCAGTGAAGGGCCAGTTGTTGGAGGCGCAGAGACAGGCAAAGGACAGCCAAGACACAGTGACAGACCTTCAGGGTAGGGCCTTGAGTACAGTTGCTCAGTGTAGGGCCTTGAGTACAGTTGCTCAGTGTAGGGCCTTGTGTACAGATCTTCAGGATAGGGCCTTGTGTACAGTTGCTGAGTGTAGGGCCTTGAGTACAGTTGCTCAGTGTAGGGCATTGTGTACAGACCTTCAGGATAGGGCCTTGTGGACAGTTGCTCAGTGTAGGGCCTTGTGTACAGATCTTCAGGGTAGGGCCTTGTGTACAGACCTTCAGAGTAGGGCCTTGTGTACAGATCTTCAGGGTAGGGCCTTGTGTACAGACCTTCAGAGTAGGGCCTTGTGTACAGACCTTCAGGGTAGGGCCTTGAGTAAAGGTGCTCAGTGTAGGGCCTTGTGTACAGACCTTCAGGATAGGGCCTTGTGGACAGTTGCTCAGTGTAGGGCCTTGTGTACAGATCTTCAGGGTAGGGCCTTGTGTACAGACCTTCAGAGTAGGGCCTTGTGTACAGATCTTGAGGGTAGGGCCTTGAGTACAGTTGCTCAGTGTAGGGCCTTGTGTACAGATCTTCAGGGTAGGGCCTTGTGTACAGATCTTCAGGGTAGGGCCTTGTGTACAGATCTTCAGGGTATGGCCTTGTGTACAGATCTTCAGGATAGGGCCCTGTGTACAGATCTTCAGGGTAGGGCCTTGTGTACAGATCTTCAGGGTAGGGCCTTGAGTACAGTTGCTCAGTGTAGGGCCTTGTGTACAGATCTTCAGGATAGGGCCTTGAGGACAGATCTTCAGGGTAGGGCCTTGTGTACAGATCTTCAGGGTAGGGCCTTGAGGACAGATCTTCAGGGTAGGGCCTTGTGTACAGATCTTCAGGGTAGGGCCTTGTGTACAGATCTTCAGGGTAGGGCCTTGTGTGCAGATCTTTAGGGTAGGGCCTTGTGTGCAGATCTTTAGGGTAGGGCCTTGTGTGCAGACCTTCAGGGTTGGGCCTTGTGTATAGACCTTCAGGGTACGGCCTTGTGTATAGACCTTCAGGGTAGGGCCTTGTGTGCAGATCTTTAGGGTAGGGCCTTGTGTGCAGATCTTCAGGGTAGGGCCTTGTGTACAGATCTTCAGGGTAGGGCCTTGTGTATAGACCTTCAGGGTAGGGCCTTGTGTTCAGATCTTCAGGGTAGGGCCTTGTGTATAGACCTTCAGGGTAGGGCCTTGTGTTCAGATCTTCAGGGTAGGGCCTTGTGTACAGATGTCCTTTACTGGCATGGATAGTTGTTGTATATGTAGACAACACTGTGTGTGCTGACATAGCCTTGTAGTTTCCCGAACCCCTCCTGTGTGCAGTGGCACCCCCACACCCTCCTCCCCCACACCCTCACCCTCACATACTCCCAGAGGGCAGTCCAACATCTCCTTGATGCAGTGGGGTAGCCCAGTACTAGGTGTGTTTGCTTGCTATGCAGAAAACCTGGGTTCGTTTCTTGAATGGTTGTCTCCTGTCATGTGACTGTGAATTGAAGAAACGAGAGACATTTAATGTCAGCTGGTCCATGTAATGTAATGGCGATATGATGTTTTTTATAAAGTCAGTACATTTGTTTGTACCAGAGGCTGAGAATCTCGCCAAGGATATACCCCAGGTAGTTCACTAGGTCATGTTTGTATAGAAGCTCAAGAGAAGCTGCATAGCGATTCGCTGTGCAGAGTTTCGTCCCTTGGGACGCCAGAAACCTATGATTGTGGGTTCGAATCCCGGTTCACCCCGATTATGTTTCTAGGATTGTCAGCACCATACCCGTGCTCGTGGGTTTCACCGAAGTGGTAAACGTCTGAAACCTGCATCACTTGGGGCTTTCCTTCCACATTAAGCTGACACGCTGTGATATAACTGGAATACTGTTAAAAGCGTCGTTAAACCCAACTCACACACTCACTCACTCAAGAAAAGCTGTTTCAAGGCATTGCCATGAAGTTACGCTGACATTATAGACACTGTTATAATTTAATCGTAGATGTGCCCTTTCGGAGCCATTTCCATCACTATCACCTGTAATAGCACCTATAAATGGTTTCTTTTATCTCATCAAGGCCATGTGTCTCGGCAAAAGTGTAAATGCTGTCTTCATTTTCAGACCAATTACGAAAAGCCGAAACTGCAACTAAAGACGTCAAACAGCAAATATTAGATTTAAGGGGTCAGTACTTACTTGATTCAATGAAAGTTTGCAGCTTCGGTCAAAGGAAGATAATGATAGCATGATCTCATGCTACAGTGGTCAAGCTTTAGGTTAAGTACGATGTAATGATTCTTGATTTACATGGACTTCAGATGTAATTGTGTCACCTTGTTAAATCCACTGGGCTATGGGTCTAACTGTTCTTCACATGTAATTACGTATTCCTGATGACCAGGGGCGGTCGGGTAGCCTAGTGGTTAAAGCGTTCGCTCATCACGCCAAAGACCCGGGTTCGATTCCCGACATGGGTACATTGTGTGAAGCCCATTTCTGGTGTCCCCCGCCGTGATATTGCTGGAATATTGCTAAAAGCGGCGTAAAACCATATTCACTCACTCACTCATTCCTGATGACCATTTTGTATTCTCTATCCCAAAGTGATCCCAAAATTACGACAATGTTACAAATTCCAGTACCAGGATATAAAGTTCCAACCACACAATTCTAGTAATGGTTCCTGTGTCATCATTCCAACTAACTCATTAAAACTTGTTCGCTAATATTTGTTTGGAAAGCTACATGTCTATAACTACTATATCATGTGTATAAAAGACAAGCCTCATGTTAATGGCCTTCACCTTCTAACTGCACCTTGTTCTTTTCACCTCTTCTCGCCCCCAATTACCTCCCCTTGCATGTTGATGCATGCTATGACCTATGACCTGGCATGGTGCCTAACAGATCGCCTGTTGGACGAGCAAGAACTCACTCGATCAAATCATGTGGAGGCTGATAATCTGAAGCGTGAGTTGTCTGCCCTTTTCTTTACAACGGAGACGAGTATGTATCCTGGCTTAGCCTGCAGGATGTGGTAGCAATGCTTTGTACTAACAACTGGGAGATCAAAGTCAATTGGTATATAGCTGGAAGTAGAACCGAGAATTGGGTTCGAGAACAGGACAAGTTATGGCGACCCATTACACTCAATGATTAATGAAGAAGGCAGCCTCGAATAACCATAACTCCATTCTGTTATTATTAATATCGTTGACCCATTTGCGCCATAACTTTGTTTGGGAAGTGACGCCCCCTCATTTGGTTATATCACTAACTTAACACGTTCATGAGCTTGAAATCAGCTCCCAATTTAAGTGCCTTTCCTGAATGTGAGATTTGCATGGATCTACATTCAAGGTTGTTGCCATATCAGAGTGGACCCTCCATACATTTAATGGAATCAGAAGACTTTTGAATTAACTATCAGATGGAGAAAATGTTTGCTGAGTACTAAAGCATGTGGATGGAAATCCTGTAGTATTAGAGACATCTCTCAACAATAGAGCTGAGAGCTGTAATAACACTTCCTCCATCAATCATTGAGAGAGAGTGTAGTTTGATTGTATGTCTAGTTATAGTGTTGTCAGTCAAACCAGACTCAAAAGAAAGGTTTGGTGGCGAATGAGTCCTGAGTATTTATCATAACAGAATGGGGATGGGATACACTGGATGACCGACAAAAAGCAGCAAGATCATAATTGATTACCTGTGTAATTTGAAAATATGTAAAACTCCCAATATACCTTTCATGATAAATTTGTAAAATTTGAATCTGATTCTGAAATATTTTGTGCTACGTTATGGTTAATACAATAGTTAGCTATCGGCCATGCGACAATATATCTGTAAAGAATTATCCGATACCTCCATACATCCAATACCCCAAAACGCCATCCAGTCACAGATAAAATATCAATGTCAGATATTTTCTGCTACAAATCTAAGCCTAACAATGCTTCTGGTATGGTTAGAGATGGGCCAGCTCTACTCATCATAGGTCGTAGCTGTATGAACAACATAGTTAGCTCTAAGCCTCTGCATACATCTGTCACTAGCTTCTCACTCTGTCTGACTCAATGACCACCTGTTAGTATACACTGTGTGTCTCAGCCCCAGGGTGCAGGGGCCTAGCTTTGTGGTGGAGGGACTAGAATGTGCATGACTGAAATATAGCATTGTAAACATGGAATCAAGTCTCTTTCTTCCAATGATTCCTCCATTTTTGTTTGACAGAAAATCTTGAAAGTGAGAGAGGTAGCCATAAGGAGACTAAGACAGGTCTTCACAGTACAAAAAGTATGTCGTCTACTCTCTTGACTTTCCTGAAATGCTGTTTGGAAAAATTGAATTTGTTCATTTTGGGCCATATTTTCATGCACAGTATGTTTTGCCGTTGGTGCTTAATCACTAACGGTGAGGTTACTTTGGAGTAAGTGAGCTCCGTGTAGCAATACTTTTTTGTGTATTAGTTTAGTTCAACACTTTATCTTTGTTCACGTTTCTCTTAGCTAGATCTCTATAGAAAGCTTTTATTCTGTTTGGGGTAAATGGACAAAAATGTTCATTGTTCAGAATTAGGAGGAACTTTGAGTGTGTCCATCCAAAGAAACCTGAGTATTGTTTTCCAATCATTTTTCAAGAATTTGAAATTGTGATCTTTAAGTTCTCCATAAATTGTCTCCATCATGAGACGTAACGTATCAACTACAAAACTACACATCTCACACAATAACTGATGAGAGGCGGTCGGGTAGCCTAGTGGTTAAAGCCTTCGCTCGTCACGCCGAAGACCCGGGTTCGATTCCCGACATGGGCACAATGTGTGAAGCCCATTTCTGGTGTCCTCCGCTGTGATATTGCTGGAATATTGCTAAAAGCGGCGTAAAACCCCATTCACTCATTCACTCACTCACTCACTCAATAACTGATGAATATTATTAATATGGTTCCTTGAGCTCTACACCTTAGTTTCCAGTGCTAGCGATATTTAGCTACGGTGTTGTGTGTCTGACACTGTCACATCTACCATGCATTCTTCATCCTAATCTGCCAGTTCGCTGGTGTGGGGTCCTGTCTTGTGTTGACACTGACAATGCTTCTCCTTTTGCAGGGCAGCTACAGGAAGCTCAACAAAATGCCAAACAAAGTCACAACGAGGCCGAACAACTCCGAAGTAAGCTGTCACATTTTTGTAACCATGTAGAAGACCTGTACTTGGCCATTGGTTGTCTGTGTATGCAGATAACTGGATGTGTTTATGCTGTGTAGTCTGCAGTTGGTTTCAGTACTTGGCCATTGGTTGTCTGTGTATGCAGATAACTGGGTGTGTTTATGCTGTGTAGTCTGGAGTTGGTTTCAGTACTTGGGATGCAGATTCATGTCATTACGCTGCCTGTATCCCCTGAGAATGGGATCTAGGGCGGACCCTGATTATAATTAGTGTTGGAGGTTTAAAGTGTATCACAATATTTTGCAATGCACGAGGACGTATTGCGATACGTATCACAATATATTGTATCATTCTAAATTTTTAGTTCAGAAGCAATCTGATACATTAAGGTATGAACTGAAGTTCATAAATGGAACAAAACAAGATGCTGGTACAATATAATGTTTTACTCATTCAAAAAATCCACAGCCATCTTGGGGCCCCGGATGCTCACCCCTCGGTAGTGAAGGCATTTGGCAAGTATATACCATTAAACATGTGATAAAAATCTCAATTTGAAATCACCCTATATATCGAGCATGAAAAAGTGATATTGTGATACGTATCGTGGAAAGAATGATCCTCAATTTTCCAATATACCCTGTTACCTCACACGCTTAATTATAATCCAAGGTTGTCAACACTACACTCCTCAGGACTTCACCAAAGTGGTAAAGTCTTTCACCTCCATCACAATGGCTTTTCCTTTCCCAATTATCCGACTGGCCAAGATATACCTAGAATACTGTGAAAGTGATCCTTAGAGTCTGTTCAGAAATTAATAGTAGGATATGTTGTGGCTCATAAAATCATCCTTTATTATGCAAGTTAAAATACTACAAAACCTTTTATATCTTCAAGTGTTTATTTGAAGGAATTCTGTTAGTTTCTGATGAGTGGAAGTTAGTGAAATGATTGCAGTAAGCGTGATCAAATTCTGAAGAAGCAGATCAATAATATCTGGTGCAGCAGCTGTATAACTTGGGAAACAGTCATAAAAGGTTTACCAGTTTGTTACAAGTGTTATGACGGTTATTAGAACCTCTTTTATATTATTACTTGTGGAACCAATAGAGCTGACAGTTATCCAATTTTATTAGGTAAGCAGTACCCAAACCAATTTGTGCCCCAGAATTAGATATGCGCCTCGTCTCATTAGATGCTCAGTGAGGCCTATACCAAGGCTTGGTGGGACTGAAGTGGTAGTCAGTTGGAAGGGAAAGTTCTTTATGAATATTAGTGATGATCACTGAGAAAATCTGTGCTTGATAGTATGGTTTGAAATGATAGTGATTTGGACTGGTTTGAAAGAGCATCGGTTGTGTCATCATGTTATGAGCTTTGCTACACATTCATCATCAGTCGCTCATACATAATGATATGGAGATTAACTTGGAGATAGACTGGCTCCATTGATTATTGAACCAGGCATCAGCAGCAGGATTATCAATTCATTCACATGACCGTGTTGGCTGATTAGAACATTCAGCACCACTAACATATAGGCCACTTTCTGAAGTGGTTTGTTCATGTCATTAGTCTTCATTGCTTCTTTGTAAACTGGATCAAATATTTAACAGTTCAGCTATATCTGAACATTGTTCTACATTACATATTTATTACATTTGGTCAAACTTGGTAGAATATGTGTGTGATGAGAGTTCACACATTTTGTGAAAAGTGTTAATAACTTTTCAGAATGATAATTTTTTCATGTGATTCTTCCTATCATATTCCGGGCGGTCGGGTAGCCTAGTGGTTGAAGCGTTCGCTCGTCACGCCGAAGACCCGGGTTCGATTCCCGACATGGGTACAATGTGGGAAGCCCATTTCTGGTGTCCCCCGCCGTGATATTGCTGGAATATTGCTAAAAGCGGCGTAAAACCATACTCACTCACTCACTCACTCACTCCTATCATATTTCAGTTGTCATAAATGATTTTTCATCCATGTTTTTGCTGTTCATATTTTTTGTGTGCACTGAATAATAATGTTCATTTGTTGAAGGAAAAATCACAGAGTAATTTTTGCAATGACAATAAATGAAACGTAATAACAAGAAGTAACTAGACATCGTAACAAGCATGTGCACTGAAGTATGAAGTTCCTATTAACATGCATGGCGAGCTGTTAGGAAACCGTGAGAGTATGATTGCCACGGACAAGTTTTCAGTTTCTACATATGTGTAATCAGAACGCATGCCTTCATCATCGTTGCTCATCAGTTCATTTCATGCCATTACATGCAGAGACATTTTTTGTTACATTAACATTGGATTTGAGTTTGCCTCGGTTCCTGTCCTCATCCCTGCATGTTGTCTCACTCCCGGCTCGGAGCTCTGGTTGTCTCTGCCGTGTGAGAATGTCTGTGTGCAGCAGCCTGTCCTCCAGGCTGTGTCCTCCAGGCTGTGTCGTCTTCAGTTAGCCAGGCTACTTCCATCTCCGTCATGTTCTCAGATATGCCCAGGAGGCTCAAGATGCACTGTCAGCATCTTGTAGTTTTCCGTCAACATCTATGATGCAGATACTACTTGTTTGGCACATTGAACCTGATATTTTAGTGCATCTCTCTCCATCTTTAGCATGAATTAAGAGTTGTAAAATATGTCTGTTTTTGCAAGATAGGTGTTATATTTAAAATAGAATAGGGTTACTATTATTCTTCATTTCTTCTTTTCACTTCGTTTCAGAAACCCAAAGTTAAGCAATCTGATTGTTTTGTAGTACTTTTCAATTCAATAATCATTATATGGATGTTTGAAATCAAAGAAGTAAGAATCGTCAGGATAGCTCTTGAACATATAATCAGTTTGAATGATTCTTATCCATTACATGGTGTTCATAAAAGTGTGAGTATACTTTGATTGACCTGCTGCCTTCTAAAACATACACAAACAAACTAGGACGTAGGTGGCCCAGTGGCTGATGGAGCCGCAATTCACTGTGCAGAATTTCAGAAACGTATGATAGTGGGTTTGAATCCCAGATTTGCCCTGATCATGTTTCTAGGTTTGTTAGCAACATACCCATGCTCGTGGGTTCATGTCAGGCTTACACCCAAAGTAAGCTGACATTCTGTGATATGATTGAAATACTGTTCAAAGTGGCGTTAAACCAAACTTCAGTCAGTCAGTCAGTCGGTCAGTCAGTTGCACGCATTTCTACAAATGAGTCATTTTGTGCATTCAAACCATGACATTAGTTTATCCCTCTCCATTTATGAAACCAAAACATGTTGACCCTGAACTCATTAGTGCCACAAGTTGTGTAAAAGGCATATTGATCACCTCTCTAGATTGCATCCAAGTTTAATGTCCAGTTATCCAGTGTTAAGGTAGACACAATTTTATTGATAAGAACTTCTTTAATACCGTAAAAAGCGATGTTCATCCAGTGTTGATGGAGATTCTGGGAGCCTGGGTATTTGAGGATGGCTAAGCTTGTCCTGTGCAAGTGGTTCTTCTCAATGTCTTAATGCATCTTTCCTGTAGCAGAAACATATGCATGGGTTGTATGAGCTTCTATAGGGGTGAAGCAAGGATATGGGTCATGTCAAATATCAAATCATGTGTGATCGTTGATTCTTTTCATGTATTAGAGTGAGATCAGGGTATAGGAATAAGGTCAGCATGAATAGGGTTTACAGAGTTGATTAGATTTAATGAGACTCCTATTGTGAGGTCAGTTGGACAGTGCATGGCCAGCCTTGACTTGAAACAGCATGCCCACTAACAGCATGGGTACTAGACTTTGAGGTTACATCATTGACTTAGTGCAAGACTTTCTAAGACTATTTGTATCCTGTCTTACTCTAGACAAGCTTAAGCACCTCCAGGAGGAGTTAGAGACGGAGAAAAAAGACAAACGAGATTCTCACGGATCCAAAAATACCCGCAGCGATTCATTTTCCAGTCGTCAATCTGCTCGCACCAGAGGTAATGCTGTCTCCTTATATTGGCCCGGTCTTGTGTTGTATTTGCCAATGTCAAGTTGGTCGTCAGTGTTTTGGAAACCATTGTTCTTCCTTCTTGGAATGGAATCTTGTTATTCGACATCATCCACATTCATTACATAGCACTGCTGTGATGTCATTGTAAGATGTTCCTTCTCTGAAAGTAGTCTTGCAGTTTGATTGTTGCACATCCAGCACCATCAGTCATGTCATCGTAGCCCCCGTAGATGTGCCGGTGAGTAATTTGGTCTTATCTCCAGCAGAATTCATGGCGTTGAAGGAAGAATGTGCCAACCTGAGGAAAAGGATACAAGCAATAGAGGCTGAGATGAAAATGTAAGTATCATATGCTGATTTGTATCATTATGGGGACCACCTCTGTGGTCTAGTGGTAGAGCGTCCACCCAAGGGGCGAAAGGTTCGGGGTTCGATCCCTGGCAGCGTCATACCAAAAGACGTTTAAAGATAATACTTGTTGTTACCCTGTCTGGCGCTCTGCATTAAGGGGCTAAAACAAGGACTGGTTGGCTCGGAGTCAGTATACTGTGTCTGAGTGGGGTATTCATGTTAAACTGCGGCATGGTATCTCAGTGGGCTAGCACTATAAATTGGCATCAGTCCGGACTAGTACAAGCAGCCACACACAAACACACACAAAAACACATGTGCATGCACGTCGCTATATAAGTGCAATAATCTTGGACGCGATGTTAAACCCCATTTCACCTCCACCTTATGTGGCTGGGTAGGTTAGCCCAGTGGTTAAGGTGTTGCCTTGCCATAGAGAAAACCCGAGTTTCAATTTCTGTATGGGTACATAATGTGACGCCAATTCTTGGTGTCATCGGACATGATTTTTCTGGTATATTGTTAAATTGGCAAAACAAACTGTCACCTACTCATCCATATTTGTTTTGTTGAAACATTTTGATACATTTTATCTTGATCAGGTCTCGGCGAGAAAACCTCCAACTCTCCTCCGAGTACAATAAACTTCAAGAATCCTACAAGAACCTGGAAGCACTGAAAGAGAAATTGGAGTCAAGTGAGTCTGCCTACCGACTCAACTTGACGGATGCACAGAAAGATGCAGAGCAGAGCAAACAGGAGGTGAGGCCTGGCGTGACGACGGCGGCGGCGGCGGTGGCGGTGACAGCAAGCAGCACCGCCACTACATGCACACCTCACGTAAATGGGACACAGGTATTTCACCATGCTCTCAGTTGGTGTCTGCAGACAGCTTCAGTAGTAGCTTCCGTTGGTTAAACGTTTTAATTTGGCTGGAAATTTTGCTCTTTTGAGTTTAGTTTTGAAATTTCAAATATTTTACTTTATGTTTAGTTTGGGAATGTCTTTTAGAGTTTGTTTGGATTATTGGTTTACTTCTTGTTTTCATTTTTTTTTTCATGAATAGTAGATGTGTTATGGGAGTCTTTTCAGGTCATTCTGAAAGATATTTCTATGTGTTGAGTGTTTAACATATTCAAGACAAACTTCAGCTGAAACAATGTTCAATGCAGCATTAAACCAAACCTACACATATTCCTTTCAAATAATTGAAGTCAGGTTTTACAATGAAGTAAGGTTTCAATTTTGAAAATTCAAAATGGCCACCGATGGCAAGAAATCAGTTGTACGAGGGAAAGTGTTCATACTTACAACAGCCAGTTGTGATCGTATATGATTGGCTGACATTTGAGGTAAACACCATAACTTATGAAATAGTAATACAAACAACTTTGGATTCCAAGAATTTGAGGAATAATAATAATCTCCAAACAAGTCTTACATGACCTCAAACCATTTCTGTAGTGCAATCGCCATATTCAAGTGTTTTTGTTTAGATTTATCCAACATAGATTAAGTATTGTATCAAAGCATAGGAAAGCTTGAAGTAACTTAAGTATAAGAGTCTTAAGTTCCCTTCTCAACATTAAAATAATACATAAGCTCTATAAGTAATATTTTAACATTTCTCAAAATCTCACAAAGTATGTAAAAAAGTTGAAACGGTATCACAAGATGTTCAGAGAACTTGATATCAATGACATATCCAAGTTTTGGGAAGTATGTCTGAGGGGGCGGTCGGGTAGCCTTCTGGTTACAACACTTGCTCATCACTCTGAAAACCCGAGTTCGATTCCCGACATGGGTACAATGTGTGAAGCCCATTTTTGGTGTCTCCCGCCGTGATATTGCTGTAATATTGCTAAAAGCGGAAAAAAACTAAAGTCACTCACTTGTGTGTCTGAGTATCAGTGAATAAAGGTGAGCTTCTGTACCTCTAATACTCTGGAGGGGCACGAGTGGCCCAGTCGTCTGAGGCGCCGTGATTTGCTGTGCAGAGTTGCGTCCCTTGGGCACGCCAGAAACCTATGATTGTGGGTTCGAATCCCGGTTCTCCCCGATTATGTTTCTAGGTTTGTCAGCACCATATCCGTGCTCGTGGGTTCCACCGAAGTGGTAAACGTCTGAGACCTGCATCACTTCAGGCTTTCCTCCCACTTTAAGCTGACATGCTGTGATATAACTGGAATACTGTTAAAAGCGGCGTTAAACCCAACTCACTCACTCACTCACTCTAATACTCTGGATGAGTGGCCACAGAGGCCTCCATACTATATTGTTCAGAATAAAATATGAAGCTGAAGTTTCTGTGATGCTGTATCAAGTTAAACTAATAATCCTTTTGCAAACAAGATTTAATTTTGGAAAATGCATTTTGATTTACAGTGTTTGGTCAGTCAATTAGAGCTGGCCTCTCTTGTCATGTTTTTAATATTTATGTGGCTTTCCCAAACTGGACATTTTAAAAGAACACTTGTTTTGTTTGAAGTTATTAGATGAACTCTTTGTGCAGTCATCTGTATAGCAAGTTGTTCATTAGAAAATGATAACCTGCATCGAGTGAAGCATGATGCATTGTTAGTGTTAAACACAGCAGTTTGCCAGCATGGTGATTTCATCTGTCCCATTTCATTTTGTGTGTAAGTGTGTGCGTGCGTGTGTGCGTGTGTGCGTACTTGTATGAGTGCGTGCGTGTGTGCGTGCATGTGTGCATACGTGTGCGTGCGTGGTGTGTGTGTGTGCGTGTGTGCCTGCGTGGTATGCGTGTGTGCGTGGTATGCATGTGTGCCTGTTTGTGTGCATGCGTGCGTGGTATGCGTGTGAGCGTGTGCGTGTGTGTGTGCATGCGTGTGCGTGCGTGGTATGCGTGCATGTCTCATTTCATCATCAATAACAATTAGAAAGTTGTTAATTAACAAGTACATCAGTAAATTTGTTTGCTTTACCAAGTTTCTCTATGTTGTGACCTCTGTTGATGTGAATGGCATGTATAAGTATACAATCTGTTTTCTTTAATCTGATCTACGATTTGCAGAAACTAAAATTTCATGATAAATCAATCATTTATATTGACATTTTTGAGGAATTTTCATTTAACTTTTTTGGATAGCAGATATGCTCAATTCTTTTTTTCTGTTTAACCATTTTGATAAATGTTTCACTAATTGCTAATTCAGTGTTAAAGGACCCCCTTTAACATTGGGGTTATGGGAGGCCCCTGGACTTTCATTCATAATTTTTTGGGGGAACGGGTGGCCCAGTCGTCTAAGGCGCCCTGATTCGCTGTGCAGAGTTGCGTCCCTTGGGCACGCCAGAAACCTATGATTGTGGGTTCGAATCCCGGTTCGCCCGAATTATGTTTCTAGGTTTGTCAGCACCATACCCGTGCTCGTGGGTTTCACCGAAGTGGTAAACGTCTGAGACCTGCATCAATTTGGGCTTTCCTCCCACATTAAGCTGACACGCCGTGATATAACTGGAATACTGTTAAAAGCAGCGTAAAACCCAACTCACTCACTCACTCATAATTTTGGACATTGAAACTTATTGTGTTTTGGCTAGATTCAGCATGTTAGATGTTAGAAGATGTATTACAAGCAAGAGAGCATTTAGAACATTTCTGTTTCAATATCCAGAGTGTTAAATGTATGGATGATTTGCACCAGTTGAGGACCAAGTGTGATGAGTACGTGGCTGAGATTGACCACCTCAAGAAAGAAATGGATGGCGTGCTAGATGACTATCGACAACTAGCGGACAAGAGCAAAGTGGTCAGTGATAAGCCGATATGGAGCTGTGTACAGGAACAGCTTCAATATCTACTTGAAAGTTTCAAAGTCTTGATTTAGCTCTATGAATCAAACGGACTCTAATCATGACAAGAAATGAATGATTCATCCTCACATTTCATCATGACCAGGTTTCACTGTATTTGTGATCATGATTTGTTCTGACAATTTCTATGGCAGTTATTGAAATAATATTCCCGGGCGGTCGGGTAGCCTAGTGGTTAAAGCGTTTGCTCGTCACACCGAAGACCCAGGTTCGATTCCGGACATGGGTACAATGTGTGAAGCAAATTTCTGGTATCCCTGACGTGATAGTGCCGGAATATTGCTAAAACCTTTCTCACTCACTCAATAATATTCTTGGATGCTTAATGTTTGTGTGACCGCCTCCGTGGTCTAGTGGTAGAGCGTCCGCGCGGAGAGCGGAAGGTCCAGGGTTCGTTCGATCCCCGGCCGCGTCATACCAAAAGACGTTAAAAGGTGGTACTTGTTATTACCCTGTCTGGCGCTCGGCATTAAGGGGCTAAAACAAGGACTGGTCAGCTCGGAGTCAGTATACTGTGTCTGAGTGGGGTATTCATGTTAAACTGCGGCATGGTATCTCAGTGAGCTCGCACTATAAATCGGCATAAGTCCGGACTAGTACAAGCAGCCACACAAACACACACACGTGCATGCATGTTGCTATATAAGTGCAATAATCTTGGACGCGACGTTAAACCCAATTTCACCTCACCTCACAATGTGTGAAGCCCATTTCTGGTATCCCTGACGTGATATTGCTGGAATATTGCTAAAACCTTTCTCATTGACTCCATAATATTCTTGGATGCTTAATGTTCGTGTTTTCTTTGTTGCAGCTGTCCTTCTGTTCCAGTATACCTCTTCTCATGCTCCTGTTTGCCTTCCTAGTGGCGCTCTACCCAACACTGGCTGAGCTCACCGCCACCACATCATAATACATAACTACCACATCCTAGCTACTTAGCTGTGAACATCATCTGGTGCTCTCTCCCACTCAGGCAGACACCCAACCACCAGCCCCACCGTCTACCAAGGTAGGGTGGGGACGCCACGCCACGCACAGGACCGTCATGGTGGCATGGGCTGGTGTGAGGAACAGCCTCACCTGATGGAGGAGTGGGACTCCTCCGGGTCGGTTCTCCACAGCTGGGGATGGAGGTGGTGGCGTGACGGCGTGACGGCAGCCTGCTGGGACATGTAGGTCAGTGTCATGCTCTATCAGTACCGAAGCCATTGTGATACTTGTACAGATCTGTAGCATGGCTCTCTCTCCTCTGCAACCACCTTCAGGAGTACCGGTAATCTACATGGTTGTTTACTGTGTCCTGGAGACCTATACATCTGAACCAACGGATGTAGAACACGGTCCTCTACGCAGAGGTCGTCTTCACCGATACAGTTCAACACGATTCAGAGATGCACACTACCTGCTTTAGGCTTCGACACATCATAGTAATCAAAACCTAAAACTGTTAGTTTGTTTGAGAGCTTAAATTTTATTGTGTATGATTAAGACTGACTTGTTCCAGAAAAAAACATTTCATCCATCTGTTATCTTGATCTGCTCCAAGGTGAAGACACTGCACTGTCCTATTCCGTCTAGAAAGTTTTTGGATGGTACTCAGCAGTATCCCATCATTTCCATCCCTTCCCTACTTCAGCTTCCCCCACACTGGAGCATCTGTGTACATGCTTGTAACAAGGGCTGTCATCACTCCTCATTGTGTATATATTGACACGTGCACAGAGTTTTGTGTTATTGGTGTGAAAGTTGATGATAGGATTTCTGTCACAAGATCCACCTGTTGGTGTGTCTGGTACTGCTGATTCCTGATGCACAAAGGACAGTACAGTGTCTAGACATCGTCTTGTCTGATAGGTTCAAGTCGCTGCAGCAGTCCTTTTGGCCACAAGGGACCAACCGTTTGTGTCATCTGGTAGACGAAACTGGGAATTTTCCACTCTTCTTACAATCAAATGATGATCAAATGGTCAGTGGAAGTAGAAAATGGTGGCTGAGAACATGTTTTCTCCTTTTGTTATCAATCTGCTTGTATTAAAAGAATGATCAAACGGATAATTTGTCTGGAATCAAAATCCTTCCTACCACTACTAACATATAAAGGTTGGTTCTCGGTGGATAGAAATCTATACAAATCTGGGTCCAAATCAACAGGCTCACCTTAATTCATGCTTCATCCACACCTTCAGGGCCCACTAGCACAAAGCGATCTTAGTGCTAAGATGATCTCACTCCCATACTTTAACATAGGCTTACAATAGTCTTAGCACTGAGATCGTTTTGTGCAAGTGGGTCCTGGTGTTGTTCAAGGTATTTGCTTTAAACAGCAGGTATAGACCTGGACCAGTTTTCATTTCTAAGAAATATCCTATGGAAGCTTGTTAACATGAGATGTTTTCAATGATGACACCAGCAGGACTGCTGGATGAGACTTGAACTGGACAGACAGCAAGTAGTGCAGGACATTATCAGTGTGACCCCTGCAAGGCGAGCCATGTCTATCTCAGGAGTATGCTGTGTACTTGAAGACCAAGGGAAGTCATGTAGATACTTCATACTGTTGCTAGTTTAGTCCAGACATTGAGTGCTTATAAATTGTTATGCTTTGTTTTCTTTTGAAAGTGCTGCATAATTGTGTTTTACGACCTGCTTTTCATGCAGATTTTGAGGATAAGAACTTTGAAAGGGAACTTTGAAAGAAATTGATCATATATCTGAATTTGGGGAATTTAGGGAAAATTGTTTCTTTAAAAGGTCTACTGCTTGTGCTCAGTATTAACAGTTGGCTTAAAACATAATAAAAGAAAAGTGATAGTCGCATTGTTTTTAAACATTTTGTTTAAATAAAATCCAAAAAAATGAAACAAATTTGGAAATAAACAAAATCTTGTGAAAATCAGGTCCATTAAATTCAGAAAAGTTAGTAGTTGCAATTACAGCATACTTCTCATATACAATATACTTATATTTGAATATACAACATACCATGGGTGCCAGAACATTGTGTACAGAAGTACAGTGTACAGTGTAAATACGTGTACATTTGTTTCTTACTTGAACGACTATTTGTATGACACGGAAAGATATTTAAGTGTAGGTGTAGCTCTGATTGGAGATGTATATTTAGACCTGAACGTGTACCATTTGTAAATATGTAGACAAAGGTAGAAGGGCATCAGTTAGATGCAGTGGCTGCCGTAATCATTGACAAGGACCATGGACATTGTAGAAATACATTATTTAATTAGTTTCTTAATTTATGTTCTCATGCTTTGTTTCTTGTACCAAGATACCTTTGTTGCTGTACAAACAAGCAGAAGAAGTGGTTTACTTCATTAATCTGAAAGAAGCATCTCGAACCCTTGATTGAGATTGGTTTTATGTCATTTATTGAACTATGATTCAATCCGTTTACATCTTGGTTTGAATTAAGCCTCTATATTCATATCTACATATCCATGAAGCATCTCCAACCTTATTTTACTGACAATGGTAAATGATGTCTCACTCGCTGTGATTATGGTTTTCAATCATCACTGTGAGGACTCTGTTTCAAGCTTGGGGAATATTCAAAAACGAAAAGCAGTCTTTTCTGTACATTGACAAGGGTTTAGTTGTTGAAGTGACATTTCTTGTCCACCATGATTTAGCATTGATTTTGAACCTCTAATTTTACTATGAATGAAGTTCTATTGTTTAGAGGGGCGGTCGGGTAGCCTAGTGGTTAAAGCGTTCGCTTGTCACGCCGAAGACCCGGGTTCGATTCCCGACATGGGTACAATGTGTGAAGCCCATTTCTGGTGTCCCCCGCCGTGATATTGCTGGAATATTGCTAAAAGCGGCGTAAAACCATACTCACTCACTCACTCACTATTGTTTAGAATATCTGGTTGCTGTTCACGTGATCGTTTGGAAAAGTCTTGTCCTTGTTTTGTTGTTAGAAACAGAGTACTCACGGTACCATTCATTCTGTGCTTTTCCTTTATATGGAGGAAGTAATACCATTCTTTGTCTCTTCATAACTATTGCTGATATTTGTCTCTTCACAACAATTGCCCACCAATCCACACTTTTACAGGGATTACCGACTAACATATACATATGCTGTAAGGGAAACAAGCCATTCTGATAATGCTATAATATTTGAATTAGATATTTGAAGAAAAGTGGATATGAAGTTACTAAGGCATTTGTCTTTGCTTGCAACTGAACATATCTCGTATTAACCTACTTAAGCTGCTTTATGTTTTAAGGAGGTTAACACCAAAAAGGCGCTGAGGCATCTTCTGTTGGTAGAATCCCAGAATATTGGTAAAGGTGAAAAAAAGGGGGATGTTAATTGTGTAAATTCCGGTCAACGCTCCCTCCTCATTGCGGTGTTATCTGATGCTGATTTTCAACAGTTGAATTCCTACTGATCATCCATGCTTTGCTGAGTAATTGTTTTGAATGTTGTACTGTTTGTATTGAAGATGTAAAACATATTGGAAGAAAAACACCAAATATCCATTATGAACATGAAAAATGACAAAACATAAATGATCTATTTTCTGAACAATACTTTATTTGAATTGAAGTTATTTTTAAAAAATAAATAACCAAAATGACTTTGTAAAAAACTAACAAACAGAATAGAGAAAATAACAAAAATAAGATAAACTGTACTCTGTGGACCAGTAGGCTTGACCTGAGTGTGCTTAATTGACTGTTTGGAAATGTCAGTGTGTAGTATAGAACACACCAGGGCAAGAATAGGACCCTGCCACACCCCCTCCTCCCTCCATTTTTGTTCCTGTTGTGATGTTGGAATGGGGTTTTGAGTATCCGAGTTTTGTATGCTTGTAGTTACGTGGAGTGGGGGAGGAGGGGGCACCTAGTCACAGTGGTGGCATGCAACTACATTTACCTCAAGCCTCATCAATGCTTCTCTCAAATGACTTGACCAGATTATCCTGAAAATCCTGAAACTGCTGTGGGCTGCTCCTGTGTTTCTCAGTGCTAAAACTCCCTAATTTTTGCAGTTGCACCATACAATCTGTATTATCACATATTTCTTTGATAAGGTAATTCTTTTCTTTCTTTTTTCTTGTTGTCAATTACAATCTTTTTGATGTCATTTATTTGAAAGAAGCATGTGGGGCTTTGTTGGTGTCATCTTCATTTGCATGTTTACATGTAAATCTACGTATAACTTCCTCACATTGTACCAGTTACCAATACACTGACCCTTTGACTCTGTGTATTCTGTCTTCTCAAAGAAGATGAGCGCAAGGATGAGTTACCTTCCAGTGATTCACGAGGTCACAGTGATCAGTTTTCAGCTCTTGGCTGCCTTCATGTGTACATTGCCTCCATGGTCATGGTTCTTTTCTTTCTGCAACAACACGAACGTGTCAGAGACAAGTTTACCACATCCGCCATGAGATTACAAAAATCACTGCAGCGTTGATATTTTGTATGGATTGAGTTTCATGTCTGTCCAAACCCTTCTGTTACAATATGAAGACTTGAACATGAAGGGCATATTAATGATCAAATACGGTCTTTGAATAAAAAGTTGTTTAAATACTTACATCAGTTTTGTGTCTTTGATCTGTGTGTGTATTTAGTTCCATCCAATATGTGTGGTCTCTGGTGCTGAAACCCATAGTGCCACTTAACCTGTGATTCTGAAAAAATTTGGTCCCCAGCTACCAACGCTTGTTGGAAGAGGAAACTTAATGAATTGGGTTGTTAGATATGGTTAGTTGCAAGTATGGTTCATAATATCAGTGACTGGTTTGTTGGTGAGCAACGTTCCTTGCTGTTGGTGTACGATGACACAATCAACCAGATCAGTGAGTCTGACCACCCAATCCATTTGGTTGCACTTACGACCAACACAGGCTGCTGGGGAGAATTCTCAACAGGAATCTCCACAAGGAGAAGAGTGATTGAGTGAGTTTAACACACAGTATTTCAGTTATATCACCGCCTGTCTGTTCGTTGTGGAAGGAAAGACAATCATTGGCTCCTGGAACACCAGAGGGATGCAACTGCACAGCAGACGACCTATGCCCTCGCTACAATGAAGTGAGTGAGTAAATTGGGTTTCAGGCTGTTTGGAACAGTATTCCAGTTGAAGCATGGTCCGTCAGCTTAATGTGGGATGAAACCCCGAAGTGATGCAGGTCCGAAATGTTTACCCATACAGGTACAGTCCTGACAGACCCAGATTCATAGCCAGGGTTTGAACCCACAATCACAGGTTTCTGGCGTGACCAAGGGACGCAACTCTGCAAAGCAAATTGTAGCGTCCTAGACCAGCTGTGCCCAAGGAGGAAATGGTAGTATACTGAAAAAAACCCAACAGTTTCGTCTTTCTATGTACATATTATAATTATTCTCTTCACCAAGACAGAAGAAGTTTTTTCATGGATAACCTAATTATCAATACAAGTTGCACCTTTCAACTGATGCCTCACACACTGAAACATATCCTGTGTTTGTTTGTTGTTGAAGGCCATACGCAGCAATATTCCAGATATATGACCACAGCCAGTAAATAAGTGAGACTGGGCCACACAATCCAGTGATTGATGTTATGAGAAATGATCCATAAAAGATCAACAAACATGAACTTGATTGTTTTCATTTTTTAACGTAGTGCAAGTGATTATATTTAAAACATACCGAACTTCTTGTTTCACGAAAAGTGTCCATATCGATGACATCATTGTTTAACTCCATTATGTTTATTTTGATACACTGTAAAGCTGTTTTTGAACCTTAAAATAAATTTCTCTTTCTTGTTGATTTAGTTGTTGATAAAGTTCACTTCATGATCTATTCAATAAAATGAAATATACGAAGATACAAGTGCACATGAGCACAGGCGACGTGTTCAAAGTAGCCCTTTAAGAGAGTTTTTCAGCTACTTACACTGACATTCTATATCTTTTTGTGAAGTGTATCCTTCATTGTTCTTTCAACCAAGAAAATATACACCTTCTAAAGAGCTATAACATGTAAAGATTGTGCTAAGCTTGTCCAATGATACATTTGAAATCAGGGTTAATTAAAAGTTGGGTAGCCTAGTTGTTAAAGCGTTCGCTCGTCACGCCGAAGACCCGGGTTCGATTCCCGACATGGTACAATGTGTGAAGCCCATTTCTGGTGTCACCCGCCGTGATATTGATGGAATATTGCTAAAAGCAGCGTAAACCCATACTCAATCAATCAATCAATCAATCAATCCTGTTCAAGCCGTCTTAAACATAACATTCTGCTGAGTGGAATGTCAGAGTACAGTATTCGGTGACTGGCATGCCTACATGATTATCGTGTATGACACATCGCTCATAATCCGCGTAAAAAACCACACTAATCGTTCAACATGGTTTCCTTGATATTAAAACTCTTGTGCAATCTCAGCGATGGATCGCCTTGATTGCCGACATGAACGTGACTCTCCAGGGGACTGAAGTATCCTGTTGCTGTAGAACACGTCGTGTGTCAATTAAACATCGTGAACACAAACGTGTTGGCGTTATATTCCCTGTAATCCCTGGTATCCGAATTTTGAAGACCATTCGTGGAATTAGTTATCAGGAAAATGTCACTGTAGAGAGATATTTTAAAAGTTAATAGATCACATTCCCTTACTCAACTTCCGTTAACAAAGGACAAAAGGCGTTGTTCCATTAACTAGATAAAGTCCAAGGGCGACTGGTTGTGTGACTTTGAAACACGCGTGGACCGCCTCCGTGGTCTAGTGGTAGAGCGTCCGCCCGGAGAGCGGAAGGTCCGAGGTTCGATCCCCGGCCGCGTCATACCAAAAGACGTTAAAAGATGGTACTTGTTGTTACCCTGTGCCCTGTCTGGCTCTCGGCATTAAGGGGCTAAAACAAGGACTGGTTGGCTCGGAGTCAGTATACTGTGTCTGAGTGGGGTATTCATGTTAAACTGCGGCATGGAATCTCAGTGGGCTAGCACTATAAATCGGCATCAGTCCGGACTAGTACAAGTAGCCACACACACACACACACACACACACACACGTGCATGCACGTCGCTATATAAGTGCAATAATCTTGGACGCGACGTTGAGCCCCATTTCACCTCACCTGAAACACGCGTGCGATGGCTTAGGCTTTGAGGCCCCAGGGAACAAGCAAACACTTTTTTATGCAAAATGGATGAGTGGGGGATACTTCCGGGAGGGCAGGACATGCTTATCCTTTTCGCGAACACCAGGGCCCACTTGCGCTAAGACTATCGTAAGCCTATGCTAAAGTATAGAAGCTAAGATCGCTTTGTGCAAGTGGGCCCTGTGTCATTGATTTTCAAGGATCCATCATAGAACAAACCAGATGACGTCACTATTGAACGTGACGTCACCTATCCTATCCTTTGACGTCACCTAACAACGGGCGTGATAATGGCCCGTCGTCAAGCAATATGAGGGCATTATCAAGTTACAGTGGCCCGCTCATTTCTGATAACATACGGGCGTTTTAATGATAATTTTAGCCATTTTAGCCATAATATATTGTAATTCCAGTACTGTATGGAGGCGATAGCTCGGTACACCCGATGTTGTCAGGGGACGGCAGTCTTTAGAACTTGACTGCAGTAGTAACTGTATTTACCCGAAAGTCCCTTGATGGCCACCGATCTATATCCCATGGCACTATATACATGTAATATATATTGAGTAAGAAACAAGCTCCGGTTCTATTTATGTTGTTTTATTTCACCTCCACTGTCTTATGTAATTATCGGTATATGCTTGTGGCTGTATTCGGTGGCCAGGCTCGCTGACTTGGTCGATGCATGTCAATGCTCATGATATCAATCATTGGATTGTCTGGTCCAGACTCGATTATTTACAGACCGCCGTCATATAGCTTGAATATTGCTGAGTGCGGCGTTAGACAACAAACATACAAACAAACAAAACAGAAAGCATGGCGCTGACAGATCGAGGTCCATAACCCACGACCAATAGAGGCACAGCTCTTCACAAATATTTGGTCTGTAAACTCTGACGCCCCTTTGACCATCAAATCGGTACAAGACTTTGATTTTGTCACTCTTGGTGAATATCAGTAGACAGGGGCCCAGTCTGCGCTGAACTGAGTATCAATTACCGCCGTGTCGAACTGACACGACCATGTACGTTTAGTGAGTGAGTGAGTGAGTGAGTGAGTGTGATTTTACGCTGCTTTTAGCAAAAATCAAGAACCATTACGGAAATGGGCTGCACACAATGTCCCCTAGCAATTGAGGAAACGAAATGCACGTTTTAGACAGAAAACAATCATGAACAATTCCAGGGGAATTGTACCAACTCATCAACTACGTCGATGGCCACAGAAAAAAACTTAGCGCCTCTACATTAAAACGTCATCTCAATATTCTTAAAAAACATAACGATCCACACGATTGGAATACGATGACATGTATCAACCAAGCCTGACCACCCGGTCCCGTTAGTCGCCTCTTACGACAAACATAGTCGCCTTTTACGGCAAGCATAGGGTTGCTGAAGACCCATTCTACCCCGGATCTTCACGGGTCCAGCATCATGCAAGCGAGTATCACAAAAGTGGTAAACGACACCTTTAGCGGAATGCAACTGAAATATCAAAACCAACTCAATAATTCATACTCTATGCAGTGAGGAGGCACGGGTGGCCATGTGGATTAAGGCGCGGCAATTAACGGCGGAGAGTTGGGTCCCTTGTGCATGCTAGGAACCTATGGTCGTGGGTTCGAACCCAGGTTGAACTGTTGGTTTGCAGGCGGCGGCCCATAAATGAACCATATCCTGTTATAAGCGCGCGTGCGTAGCGTTCTAAATTACGACTGTGAATAAAGATGGAGATATGTCTACACCTAGAAAGTTTGTTCTGGCGATGACGATTAAAATCATCTGCTCTGCTGATGTAATTGATGGCGAGAGCAATTTTTCAACACAAACTTCAGGTAGTCCGCTGACTGGTTTCGTTCGATACCGAGGACCAATGGATGCCATGTTAAGTGTCATCCAATCGCAGCCTCTATTAAATCGGCCATGGCGGTTCAGTGATCTCTGTGGTGCCACAGCTCGCTGTGGGGAGTTAAGTCCCCTTGTCATGCCAGGATCCGTTGAATACCAAATTCTCCCCGATTATACCACTTTGTCAACATCCACACTCGGGGCTTTTACCCATGTAAAATAATCTCCATTCTTTAATCACTGTGGCCTTTCCTCCCACATGAAGCTGACACAACAAATGTCGCTGAAAACTGTTGAAAGCCAGTTAATCAAAACACATTCCATTAACAGGGTCAATTTCCTTCTCTGTGTAACCTCTCTAGGAATTTCCAGTCACAACATCAAAGTCAACTCGTTAATAGACCATACTCTTTTAATAACCAACCTCAAAACAGAACTTCATCATTTCAATGGACAGGTAAATGTTAATCGTTTACAGGAGCATCAAATTCAAAATCACATTGACACTAATCCCATCACAACAAAACAGATAAATCAATACACTATAAAATATCTATAATCCTCTATTACAAAACCGGTGTAGAACCCTC